CATCAAACGTATATTTTACTCTGATACTATACACTAGTCAATGGACTTAATAGGCATACAAAAGGTATCTGACAACATTAACGAAAGTATTTTCAATCAATTGAAGATAGTCTTGTATTAATATTAGCAGATGACGATGAGCATGTTGGTCTTATAATTAAATTCACTATAAGCCTTACACTATAGCAATAAATATGTCAGTGCATTACAAACGTTTGAATGCATTTTGATGTTGTACACGTTGTTTGAGGAAATATTCATGACCATAGCTTTATTAGGGCTCGATTCTCAAAATGATCAGAAGACGGAAAAGGCTTCTTACCTGCTGTAGTTGACATGAATTCGGTTGTTGCCGTCGTCGTCGTCGTCGTCGTCGTCGTCGTCGTCGTCGTAGTAGTAGTAGTAGTAGTAGTTGCTAATGACGAGAAGGAAAACAAAATGTTAGAAAAGACTTAGAGATTCTGCTATTCAATGAGTACAATAAGGCGGTTTCGGGAATAAAAATTCCATCCCAATTTTGTAATGATTTATCAATATTTCATCACTGTTCGGTGATGCTTTGCTAATATAGTCCTGTAAGGAAAAGTTGAATTGAGTAAGAATGACGTATCTCTCGATGCCGAAGTATCATTCTACCTGCATACGCTTTTTAGGTTGATAGCGTCACGAAAATACTATCCGTGTGAGAAAGTGGATCTAGAGAGAATGATCCTGACAGGTAGTAGATCTAAACATATTCTCTCAAACAAGAAGTTTGATCGATAAAACTGATATGAGCTGGAATTCTCGGCCAAAAGGCAGACATTGAACAATCACGCTGAGAATTTCGACACGTCATGCGATATATATGCTACCGATATACCATCAATCATCACTAGGCCCTCCTATCTCTACAAACTTTCGAATAAGAATTAGATGGATGCAGACCTGTTTTCAGCATGAACTATTATTTTGTCAATACTATTCCTACTACGCCGTAGCAAATCTATCTGCAACTATTCAAAAAAATTATTGCGTATAACTTACTTTCACAATCTGCTTTATCGTTTCTCCAATTATCATTACAAACTCTTCCGTTTGGCCAGATCATAACGCCCTGACCAAATTTCGTATCATTCAGCCAACCACCAACATATGTCCTGCCGTCGACATATTGCATTTTACCGGATCCATTTTTCCTGCCGTCGGTCCATCTACCTTCGTATCTATTGCCTTCAGGCCATGTCATAACACCGTGGCCTGAGCGCCTATTATTGAACCAGTTGCCTTCGTACGTTCTTCCATCAGCATATCGTATCATTCCTGAGCCAGTTCTCTTTCCATCTGCCCAATCACCACCGTACATGTCACCATTAGCCCAAGACAAATTTCCTCGCCCTGTACATTTATCGTTTATCCAATTACCTCTGTAAATTCGCCCATCCACATACTGCATTGTACCAAATCCATTCCTCTTGCTGTTAGCCCAAAAACCATCGTACCGATCACCATCTGTGAATAGCATAATACCGTAATTCGATCTGCTATCGTTGATCCATCCTCCATTGTATATTCTGCCATCGATGTATATATTCGTACCATTTCCGTGTCGTTTTCCATCAAGCCAGTCACCTTCGTATTTACCTCCATCGAGCCATATCATTTTACCTCGACCTGATCTCTTGTCATCCAGCCAACTGCCTCTGTATATTCTACCATCAGTATAATTACACGTGCCATTTCCGTTTCTTTTTCCATCAGCCCAATTGCCATTATATTGTCGTCCGTTAGGCCAGATCATCAATCCTTGACCAGATATTTTATCATTTTCCCAGCTGCCTTCATACATACTTCCATCACTTAAGCTAAGTATACCCAATCCTGCACGGTTGTCATCCAACCAGTTACCTTCGTATCTACTTCCATCAGGCCACACCATTGTACCATTTCCTGATCTTTTGTCGCCTTTCCAATCACCATCATATTTTTTTCCATTCGACCACGTCAGTATACCTCTACCGGATCTCAGGTCATTTTCCCAATCACCAATATAACTGTCACCATTCGCATACTGATGAGTTCCAGAACCGTGCCGATTTCCGTTAATGAACATTCCAACATATTTGTCTCCAGATGCCCACCTCATGGTTCCTTCACCTGCAATACTATCATTAATCCAACTACCGTGATACGTTTTTCCATCAGGCCAAGTCATTGAGCCTTGGCCAGACTTTTTGTTATCAACCCAGTTACCTAAGTATACTCGTTTATCACTGAATGTGTGTGTTCCATTTCCGTTCCGAGAGCCGCCAATGAAACTTCCTTCATATTTACCGCCATCAGGCCATGACATTACACCTTGACCCGATACTCTACCATCAACCCAATCACCATTATATTGTCGTCCGTCAGGCCAGGTCATCAATCCTTGACCAGATTTTTCATCATTTTTCCAGTTGCCTTCGTACATACTATAATCGCTTGAGTTGAATACGCCCGGTCCTGCACGACTGTCATTCAACCAGTTACCTGCGTATCTACTTCCATCAGGCCACACCATCGTGCCGTGTCCCGATCTTTTGTCACCTTTCCAATCACCGTCATATTTTTTTCCATTCNAGTTTTAATTGATTATTACCTAGAAAATCGATTGAAATCCTTTAAGTTATTTGAAATCATAAAAAATAATTATAATCGCCAGAAATCGTAATCGATTTTAATCACAAAAAGAAAAAAACGCGTTTTTCTCGAATATTCAACTTTCAGAAAATCTTCTAAACCTTTTTTTCGGAATCCTCGCATCGACAAATAGTGACTCAACAGTGGAGTAGTCGGTGATACCCTTGAGATAGTGACAGTCACGATATAGTTTGATACTCACTCACTTAGGAAAAAAAACGATTAAAATTGATTTTTTTATTACAAATTAATTGAAGTCAGATAATGAAAAGCAGACCGGTTAAAAACGATTCTCTCAAAAACAACCGATTTTAACTGATTTTTTTTGGATTCAAAATCTGATGAAAATCAGATGAAAATCGTGTCATTAAAATCGATTTTTCATCCTAAAAAAATCGATTAAAATCAGGTTTTCTCGTGTATTTTTTTACATGGGATTACACCATGACCCGATACTCTACCATCAAGCCAATCACCATTATATTGTCGTCCGTCAGGCCAGATCATCAATCCTTGACCAGATTTTTCATCATTTTTCCAGTTGCCTTCGTACATACTATAATCGCTTGAGTTGAATACGCCCGGTCCTGCACGACTGTCATCCAACCAGTTACCCGCGTATCTACTTCCATCAGGCCACACCATCGTGCCGTGTCCCGATCTTTTGTCACCTTTCCAATCACCATCGTATTTTCTTCCATCCGACCACGTCAGCATACCTCTACCGGATCTCAGGTCATTTCCCCAATCACCAATATAACTGTCACTATTCGCATACTGATGAGTTCCAGAACCGTGTCGATTTTCATTGAGAAAACTGCCTGTGTACCGTTCATTGTTACTCCATGTTAAAACACCCTCGCCTGACATCTTATCGGCAACCCAGTCACCATCATATTTTTTCCATCAGGCCATGCCATTGAGCCTCGGGCAGATCTTTTGTCGCTTGCCCAAGTGCCTACGTATACGCCGCCATCACTGAACGTATGTGTTCCATTTCCATTTCGACATCCACTCATGAAACTACCTTCGTATTTACTGCCATCAGGCCATGTCATTACACCTTGACCCGACATTTTATCATCAGCCCAATCACCATCGTATTGTTGTCCACTGGGCCAGATCATCAGCCCTCGCCCAGATTTTTTATCCTTTTCCCAATTGCCCGAATAATTCCTTCCATCAGCGTATAAAATTGCGCCCGATCCGATTCGTTTTCCATCGATAAATTCACCTCTATATATATCACCATTAGGCCATATCAATGTACCTTCACCTGACATCTTGTCGTATACCCAATCACCGTCGTATTTTTTTCCCTCAGGCCACGTTAATGATCCTTGACCAAACTTTTTGTCGTTGATCCAACTACCCTCATAGATGCTACCATCAGCGAAGTAGAATGTTCCAGTGCCACTTCGCTTTCCATTAATCCAATCACCATTGTATTTGCTACGATCAGGCCAGATCATTTCACCTGGACCGGATATCTTGTCATAGATCCATTCACCTTCATATTTCTTCCCATCAAGCCAAGTCATGGATCCTAGGCCAGATCGTCTATCATTGAGATATTCGCCTGTATAAACACTTTTGTCAAGATGATAACTCGTACCAAACCCTTGCCTTTTCCCGGCTACCAGATTTCCTTCGTAAAGAATACCATTCGGTAATGTGTAGTTGACTCGACTTGATTCTTTTGTGGAACTGGCTGTTACTACCGTAGTTGTAGCTGCTGACATCGTAGTGGTAATAATTGTTGTTGTTGTCGTCGTATTAGAATTCTGACCCGATTGTGATTCGTGTGTCTTTTGTTCTGTTGATTTGTCCTTATACTTTTCTTTATTGTACCACGTGACAACAGCCAGGTTCGATGTCGCATTGTTGATTCCGTTGCCGTCAGAATTTGTATTATTAAAGTCAATTAATGGAGTCGTAGATGAACTTTTATTGTGAACGGAAACGTCATCGCCCTCTTCATTGTCCAATCTATCTAAAAGAAATAAAATTTATGTACGTGTATATTTGTGTCAAAGTCAATAGTAAAATAATACATAATTCGTGTTATCAAAGATATATGACTAGCCGGATACGCGACACAGCTTGCTGTCAATGGTACACAACTACTTTACTTTGAATAAAATGTATCGTTTATTTACTGAATGGTTCAATGACGGAGAGAGAGAAGCAGCTTTCATAGAATCTGAAGCTCCNTCTAAAAGAAATAAAATTTATGTACGTGTATATTTGTGTCAAAGTCAATAGTAAAATAATACATAATTCGTGTTATCAAAGATATATGACTAGCCGGATACGCGACACAGCTTGCTGTCAATGGTACACAACTACTTTACTTTGAATAAAATGTATCGTTTATTTACTGAATGGTTCAATGACGGAGAGAGAGAAGCAGCTTTCATAGAATCTGAAGCTCCGAAAGCAAGTTAAAGTTATATTTTACTTTGTATAAATAAATTATGCTAGCAATAGATATTATTCAAATAAGCATCAAGATGTGTTGCGAAGAATCGATCATTATATTCACAGAATAGTAAAGAAACGTTTTCACGGAGCGCAGTATCAAACGCTTTTCCTTATTTTCTAATAAACAATACTTTAACTTACCATGCTCATCGACTACTCGCCCATTTACTTGCTTTAAATAAGATAATACTAATAATAGTATTAGACCATAAAGTAGGCGCTTTGCTTGTGCTTCAAACATAATAGTAGAAGTGTAGCTATTACATAAATGATTGTGCCGAATGAATAAAATAACATGAGTGTTTCTTAATTACTGCGATATATATATATACTTCCATTGATTATCTTGCCAGACTGATGACAATATCTTCTCTCTGAAGAATATTGCAGCTGTTGACATCTGTCATCGCATATTTATCTATTTTGTGACAGAAACAGAATGGGAACTTTCACAAGCCAATGGTCAACGAGCGGAAGATAACAGCATACACATATGATGCTATTTCTGGTTCGAAGTTTATTCGAGCAAAGTGACGTAGAGGAAATTTGCATGCAGATGTTTCTTCTTCTTATGAGATAATCAGGCGATAAATCTGATTTGAATGAACAATTCCATGCTGAAGAATTCTTTTCCGTGCTACCATTTCACCAGATTTGCAATCGAAAAGGCATCAATTAAAATGGAATGTTTTTCTCTAGATCTATATCAACTGATTTCCTCTTATTATCTAATATCAATCAGATACTTTAGAGTTTGTTTTTCATGGAAAGGCAAGAACGAATGGGTCTCTTTACCATTCGTTCTGGTTATTGGTATAAACGCAACTGCGTATTACGAGGTAAATTATCATAAAAACATCAGTCTATAATACAGAACAACTGTAAGTAATGGTTAATGTTCTTTATGGATTTTCGGAAAGCTGATTCACAATTCTGGTGTACAAACACTTCATATGTTCTGCTTCGTCGTTTGGATTGGCTGTACTACTAATTATATTCATACCGACATTTTGCACACCACGAGAAGCACAAAAATAAGAACAGGTGAAGGTATACTGTAAACAAAGCATCTATTCATGCGGAGTGTTGTTGGGTTTTTTCCCAGTAATAAAAATTCTTCTGTTCGGTCCTGTTAGAGAAAAAAGGGTAAAAACGTTTTTGTCTACAAGATAAAGAAAAAACAACGACAACATAGCCTGCCACATACGTAAGAAGCAAATTTTACCCATTGAAAAAAGACTACATATCAGTGACCACATGGTTGCTATATAAGTATGTAAATTTACGTCTCTCATTTTATTTCATTAGCTGCTTTTTAGTAAAAAAAAGGAACGTAAGTAGCATAAGCAGATGGTTTTCGTTTTGTTGAATTCAAAAGAATTATAATATATCACGCAAAAATAGCGATACTATCTTACGGTCACACAACCTTTTACAGATTGTTAACAGAAATTTTTTGCATTACATTTGAACTATTTGATTAGATATTCACAGATGATATACTTAAATAAAAAAAACAACTGTTAAAACACATTCGCTGTTTTTAGAAGAGACCGACTGCATGTAGATAGAGATGTATGTTTATCTTGAGACCATACAGTTAAACAAAAGAACTCTTTTGGTGCGACGGGAAGAGATTCTCCACCTGTATGTCCTCCATAATTATATATTCATGTAAGAAATACTCAATAGGAGAAAGCGTAGTGAGAACGCATTTGGTGTGTAGTTAGAAAATCATTGCGTGAAAAACATCCGATAATAATCAGTTAGATACAATTAACCTTATATGACAGGATTTTACTTTTTGGCAACATCGATGTAATAAATGTTTAAAAAATTTCGCGTGAAAAAAGTACACAATATCGTTAAAAACAATATACGTCATGCAGGAATATTTCTATTAGTTAGTTTTTAACAGATGACGTCAAAAAGAATACAGGCATCACTGGGTACTATTAGAAAATTCATTATACATCGGACCGTAAAGGATAACCTCTATTGTATAAGCTATTAGAATCAATCATCTAACTTTTTGTGTAATTATGAAAATTTTCTCAGTTACAAGAGACAGGCAAACACTGATGGTTAAAATACGATATTAAGTTGAGCTATTTTAGATGTTTACTTTCTGTTGTTTTTTATAGAACAAATCTAAAAAATATAATACTTCTAATTTGATTTCGATACAAAATCTTTTTTAGAAGGAATGGCATCTTCAACTAACCCATCAACTTGGTCAACTGTCGATGTGGTAGAGTGGTTACGCAAATGTAATCTAGAACAATACGCATCATCATTTCAAGGTCAGCTGACGCATTTTAAGAATATAACCATCTTCTATGCTTATTTTTTGTTAGAAAATGAAGTAGACGGTAGTCTACTACTGGACGATGGCTTTGATGATAATATAATCAAAGGCTTAATTCCAGTCTTGAAACACAGAGTGTTGTTCAATAATGAAAGAAAGAAAATAAAGTAACAGATTTGTATTCATAAATATATTTTCATTACGTACAAGTTTTGCAGGGGGGTAACCGTGTCGCCCAGTGTCCAAATCGATAATTATGACGCTGTGCCTGAAACTCAGGTAAAAACACTGATAATGTGTACAATGGGGTAGCTTCAATCGCGTTAAACATTACAATCCGGTGGAGTATTAAGTGTCGATGTCTTGTAGCGATGCCAATGTAAACGAGCGTTTTAAACAAGGAATCTCATTACTATAGATGAATATTCTATAGTATTACGTGAATCATGTCGACGAAAGCAAAAATATCTATCCCACTTCATAAATGAGATAAAAAAATTCAGTACAGATTGTCGTAAACAGCATTCTCTGACATTGCTAGCGAAAGGATTAATCTTACTTTAGATACGCAGAGAAGACATGTATTAAATAGTTGAGCGTTGCTTTGGATTAAACACATCAGCTTTATGAAATCTGATTTTAGGTACAATCTTTGAACGTTGATACGTATACGACTAATTTAAAAGCTACGCTTGGCCTGTCTCAACCCTTGCGTAAGTTCGAAATTACATTTACTTACTGTATAGCAAAAACAAATTATTGAAATTAGCTCGATTAGGTTCTAAAGCGCATTGTAAATGGAATAGTGCCGAACGAAGTAGTATATCATTAGATACCTCTCATCTTATCCAATCATTTAATACCATTCATACTACACTGATTAATCGTCATACGCTTAGCGATGAAGCACAAGATCTTCTTTCGAATCTATTCAAGCATATTTACGCATCACCGGAAGGAAATAATGAACAATTTTATGCTTGTTTTAACGTACTTGTTGATGAACCAATCAGCTCTGCTGTTATTCTCCGAAATATTCAGCAAAACCGTTCTTTGAAGCCTCATGTAATTGACAGTTTGCAACGCTTCCATGGCTTATCTGATGTTATGCATTCCTTATTGCTGTGTCTTGATTCGTCAGAAACTGAACTTGGCTCATTTGTCGATATTGTTGATCAAATTACCAAATACACATTAATTGTGTGTACTATCGAATCACTCTCGTTCGATAGTCAACGATTCTTTAGTAATTTAATATTTAAAAATGATTTGCCTGTTCCTTTAGCGTATTATACTCCCAATGAGTTTAAAATTAATTTTAATAATCTGATTGAACCACTTTGTTTTTCACGTCACCGGCTGATGCTTCTTATGGGAAGTCCTACAAGCGTAGGTCTGGGCAAAACAAGTTTGATTCCATACATTTTCCAAAACAAACGTAGTGAATGTTTAAACATTGATGGAAATCAAGAATTACGATCAGGTTGTATCGATACTGTATTGGCCGAATTTAAAAAGAGCTGTTCCTATGCAGTATTTGATGTTCATGGGACCATGAATGTATTAAATGAAGATTTGATCACAACTATTCAAGTTCATAGTTCTATACAAGTATTGTGCGTAACGGAATCTGATTTACACCAAGGTAGTTTTCTTGCTGACACGCTGAATTATTCATCTGAAACAAGAACAAAGCCAACGATCATCGTTATTTTTGACTCTAACTACAATAAGAAGAATTACAATTCGACAAGCATCTTAGGTGATTTTCAAAAACAATTTCAAAACGAACAGTGGCAGAATGCAGTTTTTATGACAGCGCCTGTACTACAATCTACAGCAGTCAATTCGTCTTTTAACACTGTTCGACGAACACAGCGTCTTCGTCAGTCATTTATGGATTCCTTCAACACATTACAGGCTAAAATTGAAGAGCAACCTCAATGTGAATCTATTTTCGCCATTCAAGCGTACTATCTAGCTACAAAATCAGAGACTAATGTATGCCCTTCGCCAGTATACCGCTTACAAATTCTATCAGAATTGGACGGGCTTTTCGGGCAGCTAAATGATAATACGCAGAACCTATCGATTACAACGCCAGTCAGTTACCTTGATGGTGCCATCCTAAACTGTGAAAAGCAACTCTCTGCTTCGTGGCAAGAGCCACCAAACAGTATTCAGCAACAACTGATGGAACTTCGACAAGAATACGATAGAATTGATCGCATACCTCCTTATACTGACTTTTTCATTAAATTAATCACGAAACGATCGTATGTTGAGTTGTTACTAACAGAAAAATATTTACAATATTGGAGGGCACAATATGAACCACCGCTGATCAACCGAATGACATTAGCAAAAAAAGATGCTATGACACACTTGTCGTGTATTAAACAACTTGAGGCAGTAGGTCAAGATGAAATTAGTCAGAAAACTGAAGCAGAACGTGAAAATATTGAAAACCAATTGTTACTATTGCGGAATGAGTTCAAAAGTCATGAAGATCTTATTCACAATATCGAAAATCAATTGGCCAATGTTGACTTAACGATTGGATTATTTTGTGATGAAATCCTAGCTGTTTACGAACATTGTCCAAAACTATTTGACTCAAATAATTTATTTACTCTATTAACTCAAAAGCTTAGTGAACTGATGTACAAAGGCTTTTCATTTCATATATTACGCGGTCGCCCTCTTCGATGTCACAGCAAACTGATGCAAGAATCGCTTCGGTTTCTTCATCAATCAACAAACAAAGCACCATTCGTATTAACCGTTATCGGTGAACAGTCATCGGCTAAGTCATCTCTTCTTAATTCAACTTTTGGCTGTAACTTTCGCGTGAGCGCCGGCCGTTGTACAATTGGCATGTATATGAGTGTAGTTCGCTGGCATGATTATACAATCGCTATTTTTGATACCGAAGGTCTAATGTCTTTGGAGGAATCGGGCTCGATATTTGATAACCAAATGGTTTCAATGGCCATGCTCTCGTCCCATATGGTCCTTGTCAATCATAAAGGAGAGTTTAGTTCAAGTTTAGAGCATCTTATTGGGATGAGTTTTTACGCAAAATTACAGATTCGTTCTCCATTAAAGCCGAAACTACTTTTTATCTTACGGGATCAGTCAGATACGACTGCTACAGGCATTTTCTTCCGTCAACTATCGAAGTTTAAAGAAAATTTATATAATAACAGTAAATTTCTGAAGTCATCAATCGACGACGAACTCGAAATCAATGATCAAAATGTCATTCTGCTACCAAACGCGTTTTCCAGTGATACAAATACCGAATTAGGAATTGAACAAACATGGCGAAATCGCACTTTTCCCATGAAGATACTCGAACTACGCAATATGATTTTCAAAAATCTGACTGATGCTAACTTAGAAGTATATATAGATTTAGCTAATTTATATCAGAGGATTCTATGCAACTGGAATGCTATTGACAAGTTGGGACCAAACCTCTTGGCCTGTAAAACATTGTATGAACTATCAGTAATGAACGAATTGCGCGATATAGCCAATGATATTATACTTAATTCCGTTAATATGGTCAATCAGGAAGGTCAACAACGCATTGATAGCGTCCTTGCGTCGACTAGACTAGAAGATCAATCAAATTCTGACACGGATAATCTTATCGGTCTCTTTGATGTAGCTCTGCAAAGTATACACCAGAAAAACATAAAACTTGCTGTCGTAGAATTTCATTCCAAGACGCAGCGCAGCTGTTTTCCGCTTGAACTGAAGCAAAAGGTGGAGAAGATGATCGATCCGCCAATTGCTCATATACAAGTACTGTTGCGCGATGAATTTGGTGAGCGCCTCTATAAAGCTCGTCGTAATGCTCGTGTTTCAAATGCACAACGACGACTGATCGATAATGTGAAGTCAAGATTTGATCAGAATATGAATTTGTCTATTGAAGAGCTACAAGTACACATCGAAGAAGCTTATACAGCTGAACGGGAAACATTGAATCAAACAGTACGACCAGAATTTGAAACTCCTGACCTAATTACGACGAAAATTCTCAACTTCTACAATTCGACTTTGCATAGCAAAACAGCCAATATTCGTCATGGAAATGTCTACAATTTGCTTCCTTCATTTGGAATAGATCAATTTCGAAAGCGATGTCGCGACTTTGATGACACTTGGGAATGCATGGTCAAACGAGAGCCACAAGAAACTGATACAAGTCATCCACTTGTTCGAGCTTTTCGGAGGTTCCTTTTTGGTAGTCCTCCTGATGAGTACGCCGAGGAACTATGGTATTATCTAAAAGACAAAGTCATTTATTGGTTTAATGATCCTTATAACAACTATAAAAATAAAAAGCTACTATTGCCTATTTTCGCTGAATTGTTACCTCAACTTCGCGCAGATATTAGTAAGCTTGTTTGTGAGCGATTTCAGTCGTCGTCTGACAGTCGCGTTATTACCCATGTAATTGAGTTAATAGAGAACCTGCTGAGTGCTAATATTATCAAACAGAATTTAAAGCATCTTAATAAATGCACTCTAATAAGTGATGTGGCACTGATCGCTTTGAAAACGCTGATCAACGAAGCAATTAAAATCGAGCAACATCGCCATACACTAGAATTGGAGAAGGCCCGAAAAGAACTAATTGATTGGAGAAACAGCATGCAAACCCAAATTCAAGTTATGCGAGATTCATTTGAACAGGGCAAAAATATGGCAGATATTGTTATCAATGAGATCTATGATGAAGTTGGTCGAATTATACTTGAGAAAATTTTACATGATGTAACAGCTGATATTATCAAAAGTCAATTTATTAATCACGATGCGATACAACATCAGGCGTACCAAGAGAGTTTTGTTCAAGCCAACGGAGAAAATATTTTGAAATATGTGCTTGACATTAATCGATACTTTCTCGAGTTAAGTCTACGCGAGATAAATACATCTCTGGTTAGTATAATACATGCCCAAACATTAAATGCCCAGCAAATTATTCTTAGTATTATTACTAAAGCAAATAGTATTGTTCAAGCTACCCACCAAGACAACGCACGGTCAATTGCTAATGCCATCGAACAGGGTATTAGCGCACAAAATTTGTCAGTATTACCAGTTGATAGCAAGTTTGCATTAAGTAAAATCATATCGTTACCTATTCAAAATATTGACAATTTTAAGAGAGGATTTAAAGTGATTCTCTTAAAAACAAATGAAGTTCGTGAAAAAGTGGATATATTAACAAGAGACGTTGAGAAAAATGCTTTGGCTGGATGTAAACTGCGTTTATCACGCCGTCTTGGTTGTCAAAGTTGTTGCCCAGGATGTGGAGCAAAATGCAGCCGATCAGAACCACACGAAGCAGAAGTTTTTCAGCCATGGTATGAATGTAAGTGTGGACGACATCGATGCAAGTGCCGAAAACCAGAACCAATACTTGTTAATTCTCATGAAAGCGCGCATCATTTAGCTGGAGCATTTCATGGAATCAAGTATCACAAAGCGCATACTCCTACTTTATCACTATGTTATCAGAACTGGAAAACATCTGCAATGATAATTGCTGATGACGAAGAAGTATTTCCAATCCAAAAGTATTATTATCAATATCATCCTGAATGGTATAATAGTTTGAATAATCAAACAGTTCATGGCACAGCTTGTAATGAAGACCTGCCACCAGCCGATCAACGTCGTGCTTGGATGATAGTTCGCCATGTACTAGTCGGCCATTACAGCAGTTCCGGTATGATCGATCATCCTCATTACGATCCCACACTATATCCAAAAGTTGATTCTTTACCATCTGATTACAAACCAAAATGGAACGATAGCGAGCTAAAGTGATTCTATTCTACTCTGAGATTTTTCGTAGCACATACAGCGTGAAATACAGAAAAGCGATCAGCTACAAAACGTATAAATTATTTTGAAGCATTCCTTTTATCTCGTTTTATGAATAAAAAGTATTTTAAAACTAAAAGACTCGCTGGATATGTGAAACGTGAGATGTCCTTGTGAACCTTATGTGTGTCTATTACTCACACCGTGGACTATACTTACAGATTTATACAATGGTAAGCATTCCCTACTAAGAATAAGTTCGCGTTAAAAAACGTACGCCCTAGGATAGATGAAAGTATCAGCATCCATTTCTACCTACACACACACACTCTAAGTTGAATGAAATTCAATGTGCATTCAGAAATGCCAATGAATCAAATCTTATTTGTCATGCAATAGCACCTGGAGCTCAGATATTGACACAAATCTTTGCTGATAGTAAAATCACAATCACATTGACAGAAAAAATCATCCTGAATTCATTTTCAATTTCAAATAAAGACAATATCTACGTAGTTCATTTATTATCTATAAACAACACAATACAAAGATACATTTTCAAAAACAAACATCTGACTGATTCAAGTCCTACGTGTCCACTAACGAATCCACATTCGACGTATTTCAGTTCCAAGTAATATTTCAGGAAATGTACGCCAATTGATTGAGAACAAATGTTGAGTCTATTGTTCTTCACTTGGGAAAAAATCACCGCTCTGTAAATTAAGCCGACGAATCGAGCCATGTGTAAGACTAGTCGGAATATGCTGTATTCTAGACGCAGACCATCCTTCGAAATTTAATAATGAAGGCGAGGTACTCGATTGATCATTATTTGTAATTGAGAGAGTGCGACATTCGCATCAACATCGTCATCAGTTGATACAGTCAAAGAAATCAATTGATCAAATCGAGGAAAAAGCGATTCGAAACAGGAAATGAAAGTTCAACGTGACCAATATTGTTGAAATAAACCATTTGATGACATATATAAGCTGGCAATAGCGTAGTTACACGACTATAAGTAGAATAATCATCTTCATTCGGACATGTTGATATTGTACAAATCGTGGGACTTATTCGTAATGGACGAGAAACACGAAAGAGGGGATATGGTAATGTATAAATGTAAGTTAAAATCTTCTTTCTATCTAATGCCCAATGACATCAAATGAACCATTGATGATCGACAAGTCAAAATGGTGTTCGAAATGTGCCAATGAATTGCTTGAGTTCATCTTCTGTATCAAAAGAGAAAAGCATGAAGAAACGAAATGTAACTAATTTGGTAAATAATCGAAAATAAATTTTTTTCATTGATGATCATTCATGTGCGGTTTACCGGTCTAAAGAATTAACCTAATCAGATTCGGAACGTTTCGAAGCAAATTAAGTGATTAATGATCAACTTTAGTGAAGATACGGACGGCAGAGTAAATGGAAACTGTGTCTCCTTATGTAATCGACCAATACAAACGCTTCGATGATGAATATTCGGAGTACATCGAAATAATCGTGCTAATTCACTCACATCACAATCACCTTCCTTGATGCATAAATATTCAATTGATTTTTATCGAATTGTCGGACAAACAAAATTTCGTCTGGATAACGAAAGCATATCTAAATGACAATGAGTCAGTTTGGGCATGTGCCAGATATGAGTGAGAACATCGCGTAAGATTCGCTTATCATATGTCATTTTGCAATTAATAACGTTCAGATGAATAAGTTGAACAATGTAGCGTAAAGACAAAATTGTTTGTTGAAGAGTTTTACTCGACGATAGAGTGTTACGAATTTCTATGCACCAAATTGATTGAGTGAAAACCCACGAGATGATAAGAGCTGAATCTGATTCGGTGTATCGTCATCATTAGAAAGACGAAATCTGACTAAATATGGATGTATATATATATATCGTGAATAGCTTTGACAAATCAGGTCAAAATTGGTTTTTGAGATGGATTATAAATTAAGAGCATGAGTTCGAAAATGATCCAAAACGAGACTGTTTAGTCAGTGATTGATATGAAAAAATGATAGGAGAAGTTCCACACTTGGTACGTATTCAAATATGTTCAACAATATTTCGTTTGCAAATTGTTCGAAGTGCATCTTTTTCAATTTCGTTCAGTTTTTAGATGTAACATAACGAGTTCGCCATTGTATTTAGCGATAACCAATAAGAAGTCGGTTAATATGGTGAATATATCCACCTGTCGAACTTTCGTAAAAAATCCGTTGTGATATGAGAAAATATGACTTTTATTTTCGAAACATCGACGAAGATAATTTTCCTTGAAAAAGTGTACTCGTATTGAAATTATTAGTAAGAGGTTGAAATCTACCATATCAACGGGAAGTTATCCACATTCAAAATCTATGTTTTTTCACTGTTCTTTGTGTATGTGCACCAGGATTACTTTAAAGTAACGATAGCTTAGAAGATTTTTGAAAGAACTGACTGGTTCCTCAACGAGCGTATCGGAAATCTGCGAGATTTCGAAGTTGTCGACTACACATCCAATTGCAATATCTTCTTATTTCGTTTTCAAAGTATCCCAATGTCTTGTAAATAAGAGATATATGAAAAAACGACGCTAACACACCATACTGATAATCCTCTTTTGCACATACGCTGACATTGAATTAATTTTTGATTTTATTATGCTTTATCATAGCACTGACTTCTGCTACTTGCTTATCAGGCGATAGCATTAATAGAATTTGTGCACTTTTGTCAAGCATGAAGAGAGAACATGAACACGAGTTTTGAGAAATTTTTCACTTTGAAGAAATTTTTCAAAAGACATGTTTTTTATTCGAATACTGTTCACTACGGCAAAAGTTCTGGCGCCATTTTCAAATAACACCAATACAGATGTCATGTGTACATGAGGATAAGTTTTCGTTGCATGCAATGCAAATTTGGAGAACAGGAGAAATAAATAAATTCATTCTCATTGCGCACTTAAGAGAGAAGTTTGCTGGAATTCTTCTAAACGATGCAGAATTAGGCACATACTTGTATAGAACTCTTTATTAGATGATACTGAATGAATAAACCTCATTAAAACTACCCAAGAGCATCGGTAGTATTTTCTATAAAGCCTGTTGCTAGTTTAAAAACGATACTAAGAGGCAACATTGTGCTCAGATTCAAAATATTTAAGAGCTAATTTCTGTCTGTTCAACGAGAAACTATATTTAGTTGCCAGTAAACCGATATCATTTTAATGGTATACTCTTCAACTCCACGATCGACTTTTTCAGTTTACAGCAGATAGATGGTGAAAAACGATTCGTGAAGTGTGTACACACGTTATTGGCGATACAGCAACGAAAAACTTAGAACTTGAGATAAAGATGATTCCAAACTTTGTCTTGCATTTGTCGATGAGTCGTTTGACTGAACGTACCAAGCTGAACAAATGAGGAATAGAATAAAGAACCTGGCATAAATTACATAAAGTGCGCATGCACGGAAGTTCTATTGTTATTTATTTTGTTAACATTTGATCGGAAAAACTTTTTCTATATTTCTGACTTTCTTATCCTGAAAAGATTTCCTATTTAATTTTGATTTCCGGAAAATGTTCGTCTTAAAACAAAGATTGCTGAATTTATAGACAAATTATGAGAAGAGGAGAAGAATGAAAGAGAGAAAAATACGATTATATCAAGAGTCAACGATTGTTAGTTACATTTCATTTTCTTTCAATAGGTGTATCGATTCCATATTCTCATTGACAATTTCAGCTTGGGAACAATCGTTTCAAATCATCATTTAAAAGATTGCAGATTTTGAAATTTTGCTTAGATGGTGATAATGCCCTTTTGGATATTTCATTTCTGGATTATTCTATTGGCTATCAGAGAAATATCTGGTAAATAACCCATTGTTTGTTATTTCTCAATGAAATTGAGTGTATAGGTGTGAGTTTGTACTGTAGTGATGCCGATACTATTAATCACTGGAAAAGATATTGAATTGAATAAATTTGTTTTCCTTTTATTATACAGGTTGCGACAATGAAAGATACTTCGTTCGGATTTTTAACGTGGATGATTATTCGTATGCATTCATCAACCAGCACTACGTTGCACGTCAATCTGGTGGGGGAGATTCTGGTTTTATCGATGTTACCGCTTACATTCAAAGTGGCATAAATAATTTTACTTTTCTAACATATAATATTGGTGGCCCATATTGTTGGGGATTCGAAATCATGAAGAATAGTAGCATTATATTTGTAGATGTAGCAGGAATCGTTGGATCAGTTAGTGCAAGCAGCACACCGATGTTAAATCAGTTCGTCTACAACAGAACGATTTTTGTAAATGTTACTAAATGTCAAGTTGTGAGCACAACGCCAACTACAGGTGAGTTATCGTGACTGATGTTTGAGTTTGCATGTAATGAAATAGAAATGATTTCGCGCGAAGGTTTTACAACAATTCATAACACTCGAAGTGTTACATCACTGAGGAATAAAAAAAAAAGTTTTCTGATGAATGTTGTGCAGTGTCTAGATAGCAGCTCCTATCTCAGCAACTGCTAAAATCTTGATTCCGTACATCAGATTAACATTCTGAAAAATAATTCACCTTTCAAACAAGAGTTATCTTCATTTGTTGCACATATTTTCGAAGCGACAACAGTGCTGCTACTGACGTCCTTGATGAAAAGAAAGTGCGATTACGCAAAGACATAGAATTGACGAAAGAATTATACTATTATCAATGCGATAGAAGATCTTTACTTAGAAATTGTTTCTAAGATTGTGCGATATGAACAAGAAGCCTATTAAATTAAATGGATCTTCTTCGTATCTATAGGCTGTAACAGTCACAAATCCTATATTCGGATTTTTAATGTGGACGATTATGCTTACGTATTTATCAATCAGCACTATGTTGCAACTCAATCTATCGGTACAGATTCTGGTTTCATTGATGTTACTGTTTATCTCCAAAATGGTTTGAATGATTTTACTTTTTTGACTTATAATGATGGTGGAGGGTACAACTGGGGTTTCCAAATCATGCAGAATGATGATATAGTTATCGACGACACAGCAGGATTCGCGGAATTAGTCGGCGCAGATAACAATAATCAATCAAGAACATTCCAGTTTGTTCATAATAAAACTGTCTCTATTAATATCACTAGATGTGCCACTCTAACGACAACTTCCAGCACCGGTGAGTTGTAATTTCTCATGTGATTGAAAAAAACAAGAATATTAAAATGTGTTTTTGATCAAAAGATGTGCGTCTTGACGACACAACTATGCCCACACTCCTATTCTCAATAAAAACTTAATAGGATGATCTCTGTCTTGATTTCATTTTAGGTTGTGTTGATAGCACATGCTCCATTCGTATATATAATGTAGATGATTGGTCCTTTGCATTTGTCAATCAGCACTATATCAATTATCAGTGGCGTTCAGCAGATTCAGCCTTCATTGATGTTGCTCCCTATACTCAGAATGGTCTAAATAGTTTTACATTCTTAACATATAGCGGTGGAAATCCATATAATTGGGGTTTTCAAATCATGAAAAATGGCAATATTGATTTCGAAGATACGGGAGGACTTTTAGGAGCAATCAGCGCAAACAACATGCAAAATTCAACTCAAAATCAATTTGTTTACAATAAAACAATTTTTGTCAATCTCACTAAATGTCCACTTGTGACGGCAATATCGAGTGAGTTATTATGACTAGAATGCAAGTTTCTATATGACAAAATAATATAATCAGATGAAAGATTATGCATACGGACGAAAAGCTTTACAGACAGAACGATCCACCATTTATCGTTAAGTGTTCAGGTGTCCTACACTCAGTGTATATTTGATGCTGTTTTTACCAGTACTGTCATTGGACAGAGGAACGTATAAAAACGGTTCTTGCTCATTCGAGGATTAAAAAGATCCTGTATGTGTTGTAGAATCTGTTGTACTTCGTGTTAGAAAAAGAAATATAGTAAGAACTCTAGAAGTTAAGTGCTGAGTTCAGTACTTTCATGTATTCATTAATTTGTTAATAATTTTTCCACTTTCGACAACCTTCAAAGTTTTTCGATCATTCAATTGATTGAATTCGAAGATCTCGTTTCCATTGTCGAGGAACAGAGAAATGATCGAATTGTTATTTTTAATCATTGCAATGTAAATAAACTAAAATACTACTTCTCTTTGTTAAATCTTAGGTTGTACTAGCAACAACGACAGATATTCAATTCGTTTATACAATACAGATGATACATCCTATGCATTTATCAACCAACAATTCATTATTTCTCAATCCTACTTCACAGATTCTGGCTTCGTTGATGTTACTTCTTATGTTCAAAATAGTACAAATAATTTTACCTTCTTAACATATAACAGCCTTTCAATCTACGCTTGGGGTTTCCAAATCATGAAAAATAATGATATTATTTTTGATGACATAGGAGGATTACTACCAATATTCGGTGCAGATGGTGGTAACACAGGAAGAACAAATCAATTCGTTTATAATAAAACAGTATTCATCAATATTAGTAAATGCGAAAATATGACTTCTGCATTTCGCACAAGTGAGCTTCCTAATCAATTTCTTCTAAATTCTTCAGATAGATCAGCTTGATATGATATAACTATACATAGGGATAAGTCTTGCTCACGTCCGACGAATATTTTCGCTGATGAACAATTTTCCGATATTTATTCTCACTCAACCGAATATCGTATTCTATTTAGATTGTTTTTCACCAAATATCACCTTGATTCCCGCTACATCAACATTATCGTCTCCGGTACAATTTCAGCGAAGTCAAGACTTCTCTATTAGTTCGTATATTCAATTGAAGTGTAACGTTTCACTTGCGACAATTATGAAATGGACAATCAAAAATTGTACTCAGACGAACTGCTCTTCACAAATCCGAATAGATCCGTCCGTAAAAACAACTTTCAGTGAACTATATATTCCAGCAAGAACATTACCGTATGGCACATATGAATTCATATTGAATGTCACAATGGCTGTATCATCTGCTTTAACATCATCAACATCTGCATTTGTAACAATTGTCTCATCGAATATTGCGGCAGATCTTGTTCAATTTGGCACATCGATGATCACAATTGGGCGTCAACAAAATCTGACACTTGATCCAGGCTCATATTCTGTCGATCCGGATGAACTCATTTTCAATCGAAGTGTGAGTACTACACGAACTTATTCTTCTTCGAATGATTTATTTTTATATTTAGAAATGGACATACGATTATTATTGCCGTGTGTATGGTGCTCATGTCTTTCCTAGTGTGAATGGATCTTTGTTGACAATTGATGATCCGCTGAACCCATCGTGTATATCAAACCGAAATCAAATTCAATTTTCAACATCCTCATTGAAATCTTCACTGACAATATTAGCTGGAACATTGTTAATCAACGAAACATATCAATTCATGGTTCGAATGACAAGTCGTGATAACTCTTCTGTACAAATATTTGGTTATTTACTTGTTCAAGTTAATCGAATAAATCCACCAATGATTGTCATTTCGTTAGTGACTTTTAATTTGGAGAAATTTCATTTACAATTCTTTCATTTATTTTAGTTGTGTTATATCAACAATGTGTGTTCCGAATTTGGAATTTCAACTTCTGAATCCAACAACACAAGTTGAACTCTTTTCACTTTGTATTGGCGATTGTACATCGATCGAGAACATCACATGGAATATCTATTACGGTTATAAGAACGGTTCATTGAATAGTATTGAATGGTTTCAATTGAATCACAATAGTTTGAGTTTCGGTTCAAATACAACAAATTTCACTGCACTTGATCAGTTATTTGTTGACAATCCACAAATCAGTTATTGGACATTCGAAGCCGTTTACTCATTCCCAACAACAATCAGTAGAAGTGCATTGAATTTTATAGTAAATGAACCACCTGTGAACGGCTCATGTTCAATAAGTCCACAGAATGGTACAACAAGTACTGTGTNAGAACTCTTTATTAGATGATACTGAATGAATAAACCTCATTAAAACTACCCAAGAGCATCGGTAGTATTTTCTATAAAGCCTGTTGCTAGTTTAAAAACGATACTAAGAGGCAACATTGTGGTCAGATTCAAAATATTTAAGAGCTAATTTCTGTCTGTTCAACGAAAAAATATATTTAGTTGTCAGTAAACCGTTGTCATTTTAATGGTATACTCTTCAACTCCACGATCGACTTTTTCAGTTTACAGCAGATAGATGGTGAAAAACGCTTCGTGAAGTGTGTACACACGTTATTGGCGATACAGCAACGAAAAACTTAGAACTTGAGATAAAGATGATTCCAAACTTTGCTTTGCATTTGTCGATGGGTCGTTTGACTGAACGCACCAAGCTGAATAAATAAGTAATATAATAAAGAACCTGACATAAATTACATAAAGTGCGCATGCACAGAAGTTCTATTGTTAAATGTTTTGTTAATATTTGATCGGAAGAACTTTTCTATACTCCTGAATTTCTTATCCTGAAAAGGTTTTCTATTTAATTTTGATTTCCGGAAAATGTTCGTCTTAAAACAAAGATTGCTGGGTTTATAGACAAATTATGAGAAGAGGAGGAGAAAGAAAGAGAGAAAAATACGATTATATCAAGAGTCAACGATTGTTAATTACACTTCATTTTCTTTCAATAGGTGTATCGATTCCATATTCTCATTGGCAATTTCAGCTTGGGAACAATCGTTTCAAATCATCATTTAAAAGATTGCAGATTTTGAAATTTTACTTTGATAGTGATGATGCCCTTTTGGAAATTACATTTCTGGATTATTCTATTGGCTATCGGAGAAGTATCTGGTAAATAACCTATTGTTTGATATTTCCCAATGAAATTGAGTGTATAGGTGTGAGTTTGCACTGTAGTGATGTCGATATTATTAATCACTAGAAAAGATATTGAATTGAATAAATTTGTTTTCCTTTTATTATACAGGTTGCGACAATGATAGATACTTCGTTCGGATTTTTAACGTGGATGACTATTCGTACGCATTCATCAACCAGCACTACGTTGCATGTCAATCTCGTGGGGGAGATTCTGGTTTTATCGATGTTACCGCTTACATTCAAAGTGGCATCAATAATTTTACTTTCCTGACATATAATACTGTTGGCCCATATTGTTGGGGATTCGAAATCATGAAGAATAGTAGCATTATATTTGTAGATGAAGCAGGAATCGTTGGATCAGTTAGCGCAAACAGCACACCGATGTTAAATCAGTTCGTCTACAATAGAACGATTTTCGTAAATGTTACTAAATGTCAAGTTGTGAGCACAACGCCAACTACAGGTGAGTTATCGTGACCGATGTTTGAGTTTACATATAATGAAATAAAAATGATTTCGCGCGAAGGTTTTACATCACTGAGGGATTAAAAAAATGTTTTCTGACGAATGTCGTACTATAACGACCATTAGATTCCATCAGAATCAGTTCAGTTTTGTAAATAATTATGTACGAGTTGAAGAGTTATTTTAACATTTATTCTTTTCCTTCGCCAATTCTGAAAAATAATTCACCTTTCAAACAAGAGCTTTCTTCATATCTATAGGCTGTAACAGTCACAAATCCTATATTCGGATTTTTAATGTGGACGATTATGCTTACGTATTTATCAATCAACACTATGTTGCAACTCAATCTCTCGGTACAGATTCTGGTTTCCTTGATGTTACTGTTTATCTCCAAAATGGTTTGAATGATTTTACTTTTTTGACTTATAATGGTGGTGGAACGTACAGCTGGGGTTTCCAAATCATGCAGAATGATGACATAGTTTTCGATGACACAGCAGGATTTGTAGGATCAGTCGGCGCAGATAACAATAATCAATCAAGAACAAATCAGTTTGTTTACAATAAAACTGTCTCTATTAATATCACTAGATGTGCCACTCTAACAATAACTTCCAGCACCGGTGAGTTGTATAAGTTTCTCATATGATTGAAAAAAAACAAGAAAAACTAAATAGGATAATCTCTATCTTGGTTTCATTTTAGGTTGTGTTGATAGCACATGCTCCATTCGTATGTATAACGTAGACGATTGGTCCTTTGCATTTGTCAATCAGCACTATATCAATTATCAGCGGCTTTCAACAGATTCAGGTTTCATTGACATTGCTCCCTATACTCAGAATGGTCTAAATAGTTTTACATTCTTAACATATAACGGTATAAATCGATATATGTGGGGTTTTCAAATCATGAAAGATGGTAATATTGATTTCGAAGATATGGGAGGATTTTCAGGAGCGATCAGCGCAAACAACATGCAAAATTCAATTCAAAATCAATTTGTTTACAATAAAACAATCTTTGTCAATCTCACTAAATGTCCACTTGTGACGGCAATATCAAGTGAGTTTATTATGACTAGAATGCAAGTTTCTATATGACAAAAATAATATAGTCAGATGAAAGATTATACACACGGAAGAAAACTTTACAAACAGAACGATCAACCGTTCATCGTTAAGTGTTCAGGTGTTCTACACTCAGTGTATATTTGATGTTGTCTTTGCTATAGTACTGCCATTAGACAGAGGAATGTATAAAAAAGACGGTTCTTACTCATTCGAGGATTAAAAAGATCCTATGTGTGCTGTGGGACATGTTAGAAAAAGAAATATATTAAGAGACAACCTTCAAAGTTTCTCGATCATTCAATTGATTGAATCCCAAGATCTCGTTTCCATTGCTGAGGAACAAAGAAATGATCGAATTGCTATTTTTAATCATTGCAATGTAAATAAACTAACATACTGCTCCTCTTTGATGAATGTTAGGTTGTACTGGTAACAACGACAGATACTCAATTCGTTTGTACAATATAGATGATACATCCTATGCATTTATTAACCAACAATTCATTATTTCTCAATCCTACTTCACAGATTCTGGCTTCATTAATGTTACTTCTTATGTTCAAAATGGTACAAATAATTTTACCTTCTTAACTTATAACAGCGGTTCAAACTACACTTGGGGTTTCCAAATCATGAAAAATAATGATATTATTTTTGATGATATAGGAGGATTACTACCCATATTCGGTGCAGATGGTGGTAACACAGGAAGAGCAAATCAATTCGTTTATAATAAAACAGTATTCATCAATATTGGTAAATGCGAAAATATGACTTCTGCATTTCGCACAGGTGAGTTTCCTAATCAATTTCTTCGAAATTCTTCAGATAGATCAGCTTGATATGATATAACTATACATAGTGATAAGTCTTACTCACGTCCGACGAGTATTTTCGCTGATGAACAATTTTCCGATATTTATTCTCAGTCAACCGAATATCATATTCTATTTAGATTGTTTTTCACCAAATATCACCTTGATTCCCGCTACATCAGCATTATCGTCCCCGGTACAATTTCAGCGAAGTCAAGACTTCTCTATTAGTTCGTATATTCAATTGAAGTGTAACATTTCACTTGCGACAATTATGAAATGGACAATCAAAAATTGTACTCAGACGAACTGCTCTTCTCAAATCCGAATAGATCCGTCGGTAAAAACAACTTTCAATGAACTATATATTCCAGCACGAACATTACCGTATGGCACATATGAATTCATATTGAATGTCACAATGGTCGCATCACCTGCGTTAACATCATCAACATCTGCATTTGTAACAATTGTCTCATCGAATATTGCGACAAATCTTGTTCAATGTGGCACATCGATGATCACAAGTGGGCGTCAACAAAATCTGACACTTGACCCAGGCTCATATTCTGTCGATCCGGATGAACTCATTTTCAATCGAAGTGTGAGTACTACACGAACGTATTCTTCTTCGAATGATTTATTTTTATATTTAGAAATGGACATATGATTATTATTGTCGTGTGTATGGTGTTCAATCCTTTCCTAGTATGAATGGATCTTTGTTGACAATTGATGATCCGATGAATCCATCGTGTATATCAAATCGAAATCAAATTCAATTTCCATCATCGTCTTTGAAATCTTCGCTGATAATATCTGCTGGAACTTTGGTAATCAATGAAACATATCAATTCATGGTTCGAATGACAAATCGTGAGAACGCTTCTGTTCAAACCTTTGGTTATTTACTTGTTCAAGTTGATCGAATAAATTCACCAATGATTGTCATTTCGTTAGTGACTTTTATAGTTTTGGGAAATTTCATTTCCAATTCTTTTGTTTATTTTAGTTGTGTTATTTCAACGATGTGTGTTCCAAATTTAGAATTTCAACTTCTGAATCCGACGACACAAGTTGAACTCTTTTCACTTTGTGTTGGCGATTGTACATCGATTGAGAACATCACATGGAATATCTATTACGGTTATAAGAACGGATCATTGAATAGTGTTGAATGGTTTCAATTGAATCACAATAGTTTGAGTTTCGGTTCAAATACAACAAATTTCACTGCACTTGATCAGTTATTTGTTGACAATCCACAAATCAGTTATTGGAAATTCGAAGCCGTTTACTCATTCCCAACAACAATCAGTAGAAGTGCATTGAATTTTATAGTAAATGAACCACCTGTGAACGGCTCATGTTCAATAAGTCCACAGAATGGTACAACAAGTACTGTGTTTCACATATCGTGTTCAGATTGGCTTGATGACGATGGAATCAAAGATTATTCAGTATATAGTAAAATGCTTCCAAATGTCTCTCTAATTCGAGGTCTATGTGATTTGTTTTTTTGAGGTCGACAAAGTGATCGTTCAAGTTTGCTGATGATTGCATTTTCATCAGTATCAAATATTGACATGCGATTACCATCTGGTGAAAATACGAACACATCATTAGTTCATTTGGTTGTTCACATTCGAGATAAATTTGATTGTGTTACAAAGTATAACTTGTCTTCAGTTGTTGTTCGAATTGATACAACAGATATAAATAAACTCAGTGATCCGATTATTCAATTACTTGCAAGTGGAAATCCAAATGTTGTTGGACAAATTCTGATTTCGCTTTCACAAATTTTTAATGAGATGAGTAAGGAAAGTGTTGAAAATGCTGTTTCAGGTAATTCTTTAATGTGAACTAATGTAATAATGATTGCTTTCTTCTATGGACATTAGGCGGTGTTTCTGTGGTGCATATTTCGATATCATCTTTAGAAAGTGAAATTTTACAATCAAACTCTGTTCCATTCAATGAATCAGCCTTGATTGACTTCAAAAATCAACTGAATATTCGAGCAAATCTTCGAGAATATCTTATTTCATTTACAAGAAATTTGCTTATCACAACTTCCGATAGTGTCAAACTACAAAGCTCCATGTTGGCACAATTGACTCGAGCAACAAACGAACTAACACGATCAACTGCAGTAAGAATTTACATGATAGAGACTGCTCTAACAGCTTTTTTCTTCAATATAACTAGATGATTGCATCGAATAAATGCTATCACTTAGCTGAAACTTTACACTCCATGACACGTCGTATTCCTTACGAAGATGTCCAATTTGCAGCAAGTCAAATAACTGAATGTGCTGCTAATGTAATGACTGTAAGGAAATATCTATCATACGTTGATTTTAATTGTAAAAGGAATGTATTCAACTATCTAGGCGATGAATGGCCCATTGCAACAACGAACATTTGTTCTTGATTCTGATTTCTCTCAGGCAAATAGTTTTCCTTCTGATTATGATACTGATCTGGAATCCGTATGGTCTAATCCAAGTAAATGACATTTTTCCTAGTGAGCATTGATCGTTGAGTCTGTTCTTTATAGACATGTTTGCTGATGGAAATGACTTTTCATCGCAAACAATTGACAATAATCGGAATATTTATTATCAAAAACAAACAGCCACTGAGATTGCAGAACAAGTTCGTGAAACGATTTCGTTGATAAGTTATGCATTGAATCTTCATATGAACATTGGACAAAATCTGACAATGACTTCTCCATCAGTATTTATGCTGTTAGAAACACTATCATCAAATTCACTTTCAAATAAACTCATTTCACAAATTGAAAATGTCCAAATTCAAATGCCACTCACTTTTAATTCAACTCTAAATAATAATCAGATCATTTCACTTCGAGTTCGTTTCCTTCTCTTAGAAATATTTATTTCGAACTTCAATTNTCATATGAACATTGGACAAAATCTGACAATGACTTCTCCATCAGTATTTATGCTGTTAGAAACACTATCATCAAATTCACTTTCAAATAAACTCATTTCACAAATTGAAAATGTCCAAATTCAAATGCCACTCACTTTTAATTCAACTCTAAATAATAATCAGATCATTTCACTTCGAGTTCGTTTCCTTCTCTTAGAAATATTTATTTCGAACTTCAATTTTTTAGTCTTTGGTTCAACCCCTGGCATCAGCTGATCAATCAAACAGTCAATCATATACAAATTTATCACGATCGATATCATTAACATTTATGAACCAGACTGGACATGAAATTTCGATTGAGTCAACATTTGATGATCCAATCGAATTGATTATTCCACGAGATCCAAACCTCATTATTCCATCAATGAGCTTCCAAGATGTTCTCTCAGCGAATTCCACACCACATAACCAATTATTTTATTTACAGTATCTCAACATTACAAGTTCTCTTGCAATTTCATTACATTTTGAAGTTCATCCTTTAAACCACACTGTTGGATACTTGTTCGTTTATAAATTCGATCAGGTTCCTCAATTAAATAGTTCGATCAATGACATTGATGGTTGGTCTTTATTTTGTCCATCAAACATGACGAATGATAGTATCTATAAAGATTGGATTGACAACCAAAAAACAGTTGGACATCGATCGATCATTTTTGGTTTGAGACAATTGAACTCAACTGAAATGATTGATGTTTGTACAAATTCTTCGATGACAAATCCACCAATTGCAAATCAGAGATATGAATTTACGTCAAATTATGAATTGAGAGTTTACACATCAGGCTGCTATTATCTAGATGCGAACAATCAGTGGCAATCGAATGGATTATTAGTCGGATCTTTGACAAATCATTATCAAACGCAATGTTTATCCAATCATTTAACAACATTTGCAAATGGTTTCATTGTTTTACCATCACCAATCAACTGGAATTACGTGTTTACACATGCTGATTTTGTGCGAAATAAAACGATTTATTTGACTTTAATTTGTGTATGTATAACATATATTCTGTTAGTTATCTACGCACATCATACGGACAAAAAAGATGTGGAAAAATTATGTATGAGACCACTGGTTGATAATTATCGGTTCGATGAATATTTGTATCAAATTCTTGTTTTTACTGGTCATCGAACGAATGCTGGAACGAAATCGAAAGTTTATTTTATTATTTCAGGTGACGATGATGATACACCAGTTCGAACATTTTCGAATCAAAATCAACAGATTTTTCAACGTGGTGGAATCGACGCTTTTCTCATGGCTGTTCCAAAGTAAGTCAGGCTCGACAACTTGTTTACAGATATAAATATCTCCTGTTCAGGTCATTGGGAGTATTGAATTATGTTCGTATTTGGCATGACAATTCAGGCGGAAGTGAATCGGCGTCATGGTTTTTGAAACATATCATTGTTCGAGATCTTCAAACAATGGAAACGTCTCATTTCATCTGCCAGAGATGGTTGGCGGTTGAGAAAGATGATGGAAAAGTAAGTTTGTATGAAAGCAGTGTTTGTCGATTGTTTGGATTTGAATAGATCGAGCGGATTTTATTTGCGGCAAGTGACGCCGAAAAACGAGAATTTTCATATGTTTTATCAAAACAAGCTTATGAAAAGTTCTCCAATGGTCATTTATGGTTTTCGATATTTTTCCGTTCACCATCAAATCAATTTACACGTGTACAACGATGTACATGCTGTTTTGTTCTGTTATTGATTTCAATGTTTTTGAACATCATGTATTATGATTTATCAAATGATACGAGTAATGCAACTGGTTTATCAATCGGTGTTCTTCGAATCAATTCTCAGCAGATTGGGATTGGTGTGATGACGGAATTTCTTGCGTTGCTACCAAGTCTTCTAGTTGTTCAGTTATTTCAACGTTTGAGATCTCGTGGGGAGACAAGCAAACGATCGAAATTGACGTTGCCATGGTGGTGGATATTCATTGCTTATGGCGTTTGTTTCTTGCTGGTTAGTGTTTCGATATTCTTTACCATTGCTCGTGGTATTGAATTTGGCGATTTGAAAGCACAAAAATGGTTAACATCAATCCTAACTGGATTCTTCTCATCAGTCCTTTTGACTCAACCAATGAAAGTAAGAGTTGGCTTGTCTCGTCGCTTGATATGTGTAGAAGATGTTTTTGAAGGTATTGTGTTTGGCAATTTTCTTTACTTGCATCATTCGGAATAGGAACACAGATGAAGAAACAACTGAACACCTGGGAGTAAATGCGTTTCAATTAATGGATGACGGCGAATACAGTGATATCAACAAGGTTTGTTTATTGAATAAAAGCGAAGAAAGAAATTTCTCATATGATGATATATTCTAGGACAGATCAACGCCTACTTATCGATCTCCAAACCATTTTGATCGATTAAATGAAAATTATGTCGAATGGGCGCGTTTGCAGCGAACGAAAGAGATCTATATGTGGTCCATCATCCGTGAAGCTCTCGCTTCGATTGGCTTTCTTGTCATTCTCTGCTTTGTCACATATTCCAATCGCGATTCAAATTCATTCTTTCAAGTTGATCATTTACAGAAATTCTTTTTGAATTCAAGACAAGTAGACAACGCTTATACACAGATCACAACAATCGAACAGTATTGGTCATGGCTGGAATCTAGTTTTGTCTTGAATCTTCGTGCGCAACATTGGTATAACGATGATCAACCGTATTTTCTCAATGGTTTTATAAACGACAAATCGAATCGATTGATTGGGTGGGCAATAATGAGACAATTACGAGTGAAATCGAATTTGTGNGAAAATGTCCAAATTCAAATGCCACTCACTTTCAATTCAACTCTAAACGATAATCAAATCATTTCACTTCGAGTTTGTTTCCTTCTCTTAGAAATACTTATTCCGAACTTCGATTTTCTAGTCTTTCGTTCAACCCCTGGCATCAGCTGATCAATCAAACAGTCAATCATATATAAATTTATCACGATCGGTATCGTTAACATTTGTGAACCAGACTGGACATGAAATTTCGATTGAGACAACATTTGACGATCCAATCGAATTGATTATTCCACGAGATCCAAACCTTATCATTCCCCCAATGAGCTTGCAAGATGTTCTCTCATCGAATTCCACGCCACATAACCAGTTATTTTATTTGCAGTATCTCGACATTACAAGTTCTCTTGCACTTTCATTACATTTTGAAGTTCATCCTTTAAATCACACTGTTGGATACTTGTTCATTTATAAATTCGATCGGATTCCTCAATTAAATAGTTCGATCAATGACATTGATGGTTGGTCTTTATTTTGTCCATCAAACATGACGAATGATAGTATCTATAAATACTGGATTGACAATCAAAAAACAGTTGGGCATCGATCAATCATTTTTGGTTTGAGACAATTGAACTCAACTGAAATTACTAGTAGCTGTACGAATTCTTCGATGGCAAATCCACCAATTGCAAATCAGAGATATGAATTTACATCAAACTATGAATTGAGAGTTTACACATCAGGCTGCTATTATCTAGATGCGAACAATCAGTGGCAATCGAATGGATTATTAGTCGGATCATTGACAAATCATTATCAAACGCAATGTTTATCCAATCATTTAACAACATTTGCAAACGGTTTCATTGTTTTACCATCACCAATCAACTGGGATTACGTGTTTACACATGCTGATTTTCTGCGAAATAAAACGATTTATTTGACTGTAATTTGTGTATGTATAACATACATTCTGTTGGTTGTCTACGCGCGTCATAAGGACAAAAAAGATGTGGAAAAACTGTGTATGAGGCCACTGGTTGATAATCATCGGTTCGATGAATATTTATATCAAATTCTTGTTTTTACTGGTCATCGAACGAATGCTGGAACAAAATCGAAAGTTCATTTTATTATTTCAGGTGACAATGATGATACACCGGTTCGAACATTTTCGAATCAAAATCAACAGATTTTTCAACGTGGTGGAATCGACGCTTTTCTCATGGCTGTTCCAAAGTAAGTCAGGCTCGACAAATTGTTTACAGATATAAACATCTCCTGTTCAGGTCATTGGGAGTGTTGAATTATGTTCGTATTTGGCATGACAATTCAGGCGGAAGCGGATCGGCGTCATGGTTTTTGAAACATATCATTGTTCGAGATCTTCAAACAATGGAAACGTCTCATTTCATCTGCCAGAGATGGTTGGCGGTTGAGAAAGATGACGGAAAAGTAAGTTTGCATGAAAGCAGTGTTTGTCGATTGTTTGGATTTGAATAGATCGAGCGGATTTTACTTGCGGCAAGTAATGCCGAACAACGAGAATTTTCATATGTTTTATCAAAACAAGCTTATGAGAAGTTCTCCAATGGCCATTTATGGTTCTCGATATTTTTCCGTTCACCATCAAATCAATTTACACGTGTACAACGATGTACATGTTGTTTTGTTCTGTTATTGATTTCGATGTTTTTGAACATCATGTATTATGATTTATCAAATGACACGAGTAATGGAACTGATTTATCCATCGGTGTTCTTCGGATCAATTCTCAGCAGATTGTGATTGGTGTGGTGACGGAACTTCTTGCGTTGCTACCAAGTCTTCTAGTTGTTCAGTTATTTCAACGTTTGAGATCTCGTGGGGAGACAAACAAACGATCGAAATTGACGTTGCCATGGTGGTGGATATTCATTGCTTATGGCGTTTGTTTCTTACTGGTTAGTGTCTCGATATTCTTTATCATTGCTCGTGGTATTGAATTTGGCGATTTGAAAGCACAAAAATGGTTAACATCAATCCTGACTGGATTCTTCTCATCGGTCCTTTTGACTCAACCAATGAAAGTAAGAGTTGGCTTGTCTCGTCGCTTGATATGTGTAGAAGATTTTTTTTTGAAGGTATTGTGTTTGGCAATTTTCTTTACTTGCATCATTCGGAAAAGAAACACAGATGAAGAAGCAACTGAACACCTGGGAGTAGATGCGTTTCAATTAATGAATGACGGCGAATACAGTGATATCAACAAGGTTTGTTTATTGAATAAAAGCGACGAAAGAAATTTCTCATATGATGACATATTCTAGGACAGACCAACGCCTACTTATCGATCTCCAAACCATTTTGATCGATTAAATGAAAATTATGTCGAATGGGCGCGTTTGCAGCGAACGAAAGAGATCTATATGTGGTCCATCATCCGTGAAGTTCTCGCTTCGATTGGCTTTCTTGTCATTCTCTGCTTTGTCACATATTCCAATCACGATCAAAATTCATTCTTTCAAGTTGATCATTTGCAGAAATTCTTTTTGAATTCAAGACAAGTAGACAACGCTTATACACAGATCACAACAATCGAACAGTATTGGTCATGGCTGGAATCTAGTTTTGTCTTGAATCTTCGTGCGCAACATTGGTATAACGATGATCAACCGTATTTTCTCAATGGTTTTATAAACGACAAATCGAATCGATTAATTGGGTGGGCAATAATGAGACAATTACGAGTGAAATCGAATTTGTGTTCAAACCAAAAAATCATCGATGTTTGTGCGTATGATTACAACTTCTGGAACGAAGAAAAACGCTCATTTGGAGTAGAATGGAAGAATGAAACAAACGGAAGATCGAATTCTTCAATAGATCGAGCATTTCAATATCAATCAGGTGAAGAATACGGGTATGTTTATGAATTTCATGGTCGTTTATCCGATATGCAGAGTAATCTGTCAAAACTGCATGAATTCGAATGGATTGATAATCGAACACGAATAATCATCATTCAAATGAGCTTATACAATCCAAACAATCAACTATTCACCTCAGTTACTCTTCGCACGGAATTTTTATCAACTGGTACAATTGTTCCTCAAGCTCGCTTTGAACCATTCAACTTCAATTTAGCTTTTGCCTCGGCTTCTCAATTAGTTTGTGTCATTCTTTATGTCATATTTATTGTTTACTTCACGTTCAATGAAACGAAATCGTTGATTCGAAAGAAGCTTGCATATTTCAGACAGTTTTGGTGTTATATTGACGTCGGCATCATTGTTTGTTCATGGACAAGTGTGGGAATTTATGTGTGGAGATATAAAGAAGCGACACGCATTGGTCAATTATTTGCAGAAACGAATGGATATGTTTACATCAATTTTCAATCTGCAGTTTATGTCAATGATGTTTTATCATTTCTCTTTGGATTTTGTTGCTTTTTTAGTACGGTGAAATTCATCCAGTTTTGCCGTTTCAGTCCACGATTATCATTATTTACTGAAACAGTTAAAAATGTTTTTCGAGAACTGATTTCATTCAGTATGATGTTTTCCATTGTATTTCTCGGATTTCTATCATTGTATTATTTATTGTTTATCTCCACAATCTCCTCGTGTGCAAGCGTGTGGAAAACTTCACAAATGTTATTCGAAATGACCTTGATGAAATTTGATACGAGTGAATTAATGGAAGCACATGCAGTTCTCGGCCCATTGTGCTTCAGTTTGTTTATCTTTTTCGTTGTTTTCGTTTGTCTGAGCATGTTTATTACAATCATTAGTGATGGTTTTCGTCGTGCTCAGCAGAATCTACAGAAAGATGATGAGATACTTTTATTTATATGGACAAGGTTTCAACGATGGATTTTTTGGAGTAAATCATGTGAAGAACGAGATGACGCGATGAAAGTAGAATATCTTAATTTTGCTGATGCTTTTCCCAAGAAAGTTGACGAGCTTTTACATGCTTTGGATCGGGTATGTGATTTTAGTGACTAAATCTAATCATTTTCATTTTCATTTAGGTTTACATTGGTCAACAAACGATGACTTTTCAAAAATAATTCGTCTTTTCTCTACCATTCTGACTTTGCTTTTTTGTTTTGTGAACATGCGCTTATTATACACAGAATAAGAATATTTATTCACATTATAACTACACATATCTCCTTTCTATGATTGTTCAAGTGAAAAGTTTTCCCTATTGTCATAAGCTGAATGTGACGAGCTCGTGAAATAATAATACGCACTTTTATAGACTATAGGAAACAATGGATATGGGTATTGAGTAGACAATACTGCAAAACATTCAGATAAAATCAAGTCTGATTGACCGTTTTCGTTCTCCTTACATTTAAATCAACATACTGAATAACTCCTAAGTTGAATACTATATTTTCGTCAATATCGATTACTTGTGCGAAGGCAATTATAACTCATTGGTAAGCTATGGCGCTGTTGTGAAGCCTACATAAATTCACCATATTTATTGGGCGATATGGATACAATCACTCTCCACTAACGAATTTTGACAAGCATAGATTAAACTAGGTGCGATAAAATAAACCGATTTCTATCTCTGTTGCCTACAAGGTATCTAAAACGAACGGGCAATCATCTACGATGAAAATAGGGCACTAGAAGGATTGCAATCCACAGCGCAGAAGACGTAGATAGTCGAAAGGAATATCACCGAAATACGAGTCGCATAGCCCTTTTAACAATTGAAATACTATATTTCTTCTTTCATAATTCATTCTTCCAGCTGTCACTGTATAGACTTTGATCGTTTATTACTATCCGGTAAATATACTCAACTTACTTCAGGAGCATCTTATAGTTCGGAAAGTGACTTTCTTTTTAGAAAATATATTATCTTTGATTTTATTACAATGATAACTATTCTGGAAAATTTATGAAAAGAAAGTGGCGAAACATCGGCTAAGGATTATTTTCCTTTAAACAATGCATATTCGTATCCATATCGCCAACAAGAGTTTGAATTAACGTAGCATATAAACGGGAAGTTACCCATTCGAGGTTGATTGTTTCTCTCTCGTCTGAATCCATTTAAGCACATACTCTTAATCATAACGAGCGCAGATTGACGATTTGTTTGTTATTATTACTTGTAACACATTTAATCAGCGACACAGCATAGCTGGAATTTATTCGGACGAATAAAAACATTTTGTAAGTAGACAACAATTGATCTTTTCGCTCCTTACGAATATGACTATTGACTGGAGAATATTATTTGCATTATTATCCTTCACATTGAGGTTATAAGTACTCAATATACAGAATGCGGTTTATGCAGATTTGTCGCATCATTTCTTTCTTTTCATCGCTCTGAAACATATTGAAATGAATTATAGTCTTTTGTCTCATGATACTTCAAAATGGAAAGGCGGATGATTAAATGCGCATCACAGTTGCGTATAAATACCAGAAACTATTTCAATATCGATTCACAAATTCAAGCCGTTTACACTATACTTACTAGATTAACTTCAGTACGCTATGGCACGACTTTACGCTGGTATTTTCTTGATGCTTGTGGTGCTCAACAGTTGTATGGGTGCACGTGTTGAACGAGGAATTGGTCTTCCCAGTACATGCGGATTACCATGTGCAAACGAAGGAAACAAATGCTTGTTCCGTGGCACATGTACTGCTTGCCAAGAAGGACTCCGCTGCCACTAAAACGCCATCAAAACTATTGCTTTGTTTTAAATATCATTCACCACGTTTGGAATTCATTTGATGATGATTAGTCCTTAGTAAATATCGAAGGAAGTTCTCTTACTTTTTGCTTCTCCTCATTCACATCTTGACTTCTAAATGTAGTAGTGTATAACCAGTAATCAGCGTCTTTGGCTCGTTATTTGCTAAGAATGAATCTTTAAACCTATTAAAAAAACGTCAAAATCGTAGAAAAGCCCAGATCGATTCGTCTTGCTCCCACTTAATTCGATTCCAGCATGAATTCTAGATCAAGTATGGCGAGTTCTGTCGGTTCCAATCATAAAATTTTTCACTCCACCCCGGTACCCTCACCCTGATACTCTCAATGATACTCACTAGCGAGTTAGAAAAGTGTTTATTACGTGTAAATTGAAAAAAGTTTATGGAGAAAGTTATTTCGATTTGTCAATATGTTGAATAATCTTCAGTGCATGACCCAGCTTTAAACCCATTTGTTTCGTTAAAATATCAGGTGTTAATGCAAGAAGCGCTGTCCCATCAATTTCCTAGATAAACGAAACAATGATATGATTTCATCAAGTATCTGACAAAGAAAAGTACTTCTTCAAGAAAACGAGCNTTACGTGTAAATTGAAAAAAGTTTATGGAGAAAGTTATTTCGATTTGTCAATATGTTGAATAATCTTCAGTGCATGACCCAGCTTTAAACCCATTTGTTTCGTTAAAATATCAGGTGTTAATGCAAGAAGCGCTGTCCCATCAATTTCCTAGATAAACGAAACAATGATATGATTTCATCAAGTATCTGACAAAGAAAAGTACTTCTTCAAGAAAACGAGCAGCTAGACTTTCAAAGGATGGACCGATTTCTTTAATGAATGCGGCAACATCTTGTGTTGTGAATTGTTCAAGAGGACGGCGAGACGTCGTATTATCTAGAAAATAAAGACCATATAGTATTTACGATATGGATTCGAAGAAAGATTACTGACGAGTAGAGGTAGAAGCAAATTTTCCTGATGCTTCTTCAACGTCGCTCCTGTTATTGTTCGCAATTGTTTTCTTATTATTAGACTAGAAAATAAAGAACGAAGATACGTTAGGAAAAAAATCGTCACCCTAACTCGACTTGCTTTCAAGCAGTTCAATATCTCTTCAATTGTTTGAATCATTGTGCTCTTATCAATTTCATTGAGCTCATATCGTATTTTCTCATCGGTAATTTCCATTTTCAAATCTTGGCACGACTGTTCCAATGATTTTCTCATGTCATAGAGTTCATCTTCAGCTTTTTGAAAAGTGTCAAGCGGTATCTTCATGGGTTCGATTTCGTCTTTCGATAGATTTCTACTATCATTTGTAATCTTCAATTTATTTTCATGTCCAGAACTTTTATCTACAGCCACGACGTTCAGAATATTATCGGCATCGATATCGAAAGTAATTTCAATTTGCGGTACACCACGAGGCACAGGTGAAATATTCGAAAGTTGAAAACTCCCTAGAAAAGTATTTCCTCTCGTCATTATACGTTCACCTTCGAAAACTTTCACATTCAATGTAGTTTGATTATCTGAATGCGTTGTAAAAGTCTGTGTTAGTTTCGTTGGAATCGTTGTATTACGTTTAATTACTGCTTTCATCACACCACCGGCTGTTTCAACACCCTACAAAAGATGAATTCAAACAAAATCTGCCCTTCAAATCGTGCACAAACCAATGTAAGTGGTGCAACATCTAGTAACAACATATCCTTGACTTCTTCGGATCTATCGCCTGTTACAATAGCTGCTTCTATCGCAGCACCATAAGCAACAACTTCATCGGGATTGATCGAGTGATTGAGCCGTTTTCCCGGAAAAAAATCTGCAAGTATTTTTCTCACTTTCGGTATACGCGTGGAACCACCAACAAGAATAATTTCCTGAATTTCTGATTTATCCATTTCAGCATCACGTAAAGCTTTTTCAACTGGTGTCAGTAATTCTCGGAATAGATCAGCGCAAAGTTCTTCGAAATGAGCACGTGTAATTGTTGTGTGGAAATCGATACCTTCATAGAGAGCGTCAAGTTCAATCGAAGCTTTCATCGCTTCTGATAATGTGCACTAGTGAAAAACCATCAAGAATTTGAATTAGAAGCTCAATTATATCTATTTACTTTGGCTTGGTCACAGGCTGCTCGTAAACGACGAATAACACGCTTATTTTCTGATATTTTCGTTTTGTTCTTGCTTTCAAATTGGTGAACACAATCTGTTACGATTCTACTATGAAAATCCTCTCCACCTAGCTGTGAAAGGCCAGCCGTAGATTTGACTTCGAGAATTTGATTTTCGATTTTGAGTATTGATACATTTACCGTTCCCCCACCTAAATCAAATACAACAATAGCTTTTTCGCCTGCTCCGGATGTGTTTAAATTATAGGGGATAGCAGCAGCTGTTGATTCATTTATAATACGTAGAACATTCAAACCGGCAAGACTTCCTGCATCTCTTGTGGCTTGTCGTTGACAATTATTGAAAGATGCTGGAACTGTAATAACTGCCTCAGAAATCTGTCTTCCAAGATGATTCTCGGCCATTTCTTTCATTTTAACTAGTATCATCGAGGAGATCTCTTCAGGAGTGAATAATACGGTCTGATTTTGAAATTCAACTTCAATCTTCAGTCTGCTGTCATGTTGAACAACTTTGAATGGCCATTTTTTCATGTAAGATTTGACATGAAACTCATCGAAGTTTCTTCCTATTAGTCGTTTCGTATGAAAAACAGTATTTTCCAAATTCGTCGACAGCTGACTTTTGGCCTCTTCGCCGACTAAACGATGATTATGGGTGAATGCCACATATGATGGTGTTATTCGATTTCCATTTTCATTCGGAATGATTTCAACTGTTCCATTCTGATATATGCCAACACATGAATATACAGTACCTAAGTCGATACCGATTGCTTGAGTCATTAAAGTTCTCTTCTAAAAAAGATTCTTCAAGAAAAAATAAGGACTAGAAAACGATCTGTCTGGTGAGATCACGTCTGACATCATGATAAAATGATGACGTTTTGGGTGAGGGTAGGTGGGTGTGGGTGAAGTTCACCCAAACCAAGTTTGTATGCGGCGACGTTAATAAAGGCATTCGTGATGTGTTGGATGGTGTACTGTACATCAGTATTTCGCTAAAATTCACAAATGAGACTGATTCAACGAGTGATTCTCTGGGTTATTGAAAAACTATGAATATTTCTCTATGACTCCTTATGTCTTCCATCTGGCACACTTTTTACAGTGCACCTAACTTTCGGATAAAATCCGAAGTTTTCGCATTTATCGTGTTAATGCTCGAGTAAAAACAAGAATTGAATCGTTCCAAATGTAAAATTGGGGGGAGCTCGATACTATTACTCTTCACACAAAAAACCTTGCTCTTCTACACTCGAAGATTAAGTGGGCCGACATGACGAACTTTACCTGTTTCTGTAACATGCTATTCAAATAAAGTACGAGCAGTAAAGAAATGAAGAGAACGGAATAAAATCCATACAAATTCTTATTCGCAGACGATGCATACTGACATCAAAAGATGACACTCAATGGTATTATATTTTTTCCAGGTATTGAATCGTGAATAGCTGTATGTTTCGTCTCTTTCTAGATAATGGATTCGGAAAATTTAGATAAAACTAATCAACTGGTAAGGAGAACATATTTGACTCAAACCATTTATATTGGTATATAGTAAATGGAAACAAAATGCAACGACTATTGCTGGAGGAAATAGATGAGGAAACAAATTAAATCAGTTCTTTTACCCTCATGGAATTTTTGTTGTTGATTCCTGCAATGATCGTATTATGAAATGGAAGAGGGAACGAATCGAATCACTTGGATTATCCTATGAATTTATCATTTGATGATGAAAGGAATCTTTATGTTAACGATCAGTATAATCACGGAATCCAAAGGTGTGATTTAATTTCATAATGAAATCCACTAAGAAAAAATAAATAAACTTGAGAAAGATGTGCGTAGGGAACATTGATGTATGCAACGATTCTCGTCTTCTCTTTATAAACGTCGATAAAAGTGACGGTTTTATTCGAAAAGGAAGTAATTTTTAAAAAATAATTTCAGCTATTAACACAGCAGGACATCACGCAACTGCATATATTTTTATAGTGAATGAAAATATATTTCAGTAACGAAGATCGAATTCGTTGTGCCAAATAAGACAACGATGTTATTGTGACGATTTTTGATGGAAGAGATGTATGTCCGGATGGAATCATGTCTTTCTTTATTTCTTCCTATCATCAATCGCATCGTTTTAATACAGAACACGTTTATATACCCTTCTCTCGATAGAAAGGAAGGAAGGAAGGATAATGCCAAAGTACATAAAAATGCACCGATGTAAGGACAAATAGCATGCGAAAAAGATCGTCACAATTATTATTCCTAACATTACCCTATTTCATTCTGACTATAAAATGTTTGTCGCCTACTTTTTGTTAACTTTCCTATAGTGAAAACTTCATAGGTGAAACAACAAAAACGTCTACCTATTCCTGTCGTCAAAATACGACTCCTGTTCGATTCAGTTTATCTCCATTATCTCATTCGGCACAGAATTCAACATCAAATTGCTCTTTACAATAATGTCACACAAGTTCAACTAATAATGATAGTTGCCTATCGTCATCGTTGATGCCTTGTTTTGATTATCATTCAATAAATAATATTCGATACTGTTCTCCCAGAATTTTATGTTCAATCTTAGAAACATGTAACAGTATTACATATAATTGCTCGTCAAATACATCGATATGTATAATTAATTCATGTTGTTCACCACGAGCAGTATGTTTACCGATATCACTTGGAAATTTCTGTACAACAGGTAACTTGTTGCCTCTAATCTGAATTAGTTCAATATGAATATGAAGATAAAGTACAAATATAGTACATTCGTTTTTGTAGGATGTCATAGTCACGCAGCATCGACATTACTATATGAACAAATACTAGTTGTCGGTGGGCAAAACAGGGATATTTTAAATAGTGCAGAATTGTATGATCCATCAACATACATGAGGACAACAACTGGTAGTATGAACACTATACGGAGAGGTCATTCAGCAATAATATTAAGAGATGGAAAAGTGCTAGTCGCTGGTGGATACAACGGTGGTTATCTCCAGAGTGCTGAATGGTATAACTCATCAACTGGTACTTGGAAAACGACTGGTGATATGAATCATGCTCGATTCCTTCATACTGCATCTATATTAGTAAATGGACAAGTTTTAGTAACAGGAGGATCGTCTGATAGTAGTTCTTATCTCAACAGTGCTGAGTTATACGATCCAAATACCGGATGATGGATGAATACGGATAATATGGTTAGAACACGGTATCTTCACACATTCACAACATTGCTAAATGGAAATGTATTAGTTAATGGTGGATATGGCAATGGTTTTCATACAGCTGAGTTATACAATGCATCCACAGGAACTTAGGTTGCTACTAGTGATATGAATATAATACGAGTACATCACACAGTAACATTATTATCGGATGGAAAAATGTTAGTTGTGGGTGGAAATGACAATACTAAGTATTTGAATAGTGCTGAGCTATACGATCCGAATACTGGAAATTGGACGATGACTGGCAGTATGACATATCAACGGCAAGCGTACACAGCAACATTATTAGCAGACGGAACTGTGTTGATAATTGGAGGATACAGTCAAAACGGTTATTTGAATAGTGTCGAATTGTATGATATACTGTCAGGCACTTGGACAATTATCACGAACATGAGTCGCGCTCGAGGACAACATAGTGCATCTATTTTGAGTGATGGGAGGGTCCTAGATAGTGGTGGTATTACTACTGATCTCTCTGCTGTAAATACTGCGGAGCTATATTAATTTTTATGACAGAATTCGCAATCTTGAGAATATCTTGTTCCATCCTGCTCATATTCATCTGATAAATCGATCTGACAGGACGAGTTTGTGTATATTATTCATTCTCGAAAGAATTAAAAGCAAAGAGAACTATTTTATTTAGAACCTTTAAAAACAAAAGGTTAACTTTCTTCCACGCAACATTCTATAAAACTACTCGATTTTTTCCAGATTAAGTTCTTTAAGTTCTTGTATGACTGCATCCATGGGTTGTCCAATATGAAGTCCATCTAAACGGAATTTGNTAAATCGATCTGACAGGACGAGTTTGTGTATATTATTCATTCTCGAAAGAATTAAAAGCAAAGAGAACTATTTTATTTAGAACCTTTAAAAACAAAAGGTTAACTTTCTTCCACGCAACATTCTATAAAACTACTCGATTTTTTCCAGATTAAGTTCTTTAAGTTCTTGTATGACTGCATCCATGGGTTGTCCAATATGAAGTCCATCTAAACGGAATTTGGCAATACTCCAGTGTTCGAAAAATAGCGCAGAAAGATGTATTACCTGCTAAATATTTATTGTTTCTCAGTTTTTGTCTTCTGTTACGGATATATACAGCTATAAATATACCAGCTATGATAATAATGACAATCACGCCGACGAGAATGCCAACAAGAAGGCCGGTTTTATTTTCCTCGTTTGCCTGTGTATTTTGACTCGCAGATGAAACCAAATAGGAACGACCATTGATATTCACGGAAGAAACAGTCAAATCAGGTATGACATTGGGATTTGATAAGATAGAGGATACAGCAAGAGAAATATCAACAGCAAGTGTATCAACTTGGAACAAAACAACCATCTCTCCTAGAGAGAAAGTGAATGGATAAAAGCAAATAGTTCACTGGTTTTTTCTCGAATGAAATACCTTCTCTCAAAACAACATCACTAATCAATGGCATGCCGATGCTTAATAAATAATTGTAAATCATTGCTCGTTTGATTTCAAGTTGATTCGAAGCTTTGAGTTGATCATAATTATTCACAAATGTTATATTACTCGCCAAATGATTGACATCAGTAACGAAACTATCTATAAGAGAAAAAAAAGCCAAAGACAGATAATGTCTAACGATATTTTCATTCGACGTACTTTCAACATAATTATCGATATCATTATTGATAGCACTGGGATTTTTGACAAGAATACCAGTGGACATCAACGTCACAACATATTGCCGATTTGTTGATATTAAAGAAATGTTAAGGATGAACATACCAAGACCATCGATGGTCAAATCCGGTATGCTAACAGGTTTTGTTGGTCGACTGAGCAAAGATCTCGAACTATTACGTTTGCTTACTGTACCTTGAGGTTGAAATTTTGGTAGAGGATACAATGTGACATTGGCTGTCCATTTCCAATCGTCCCATTGCGTTTGTCCTATTTGACGACGAGTGACATTATCAATAAGCATGACAAAAATATCAAATGTTCCCCCAATATCGACTATGTAGACATTGTTGATTTGTTGACCAGCCAAAGTGGCATTTGTTACAGTAATGGGATCACTTCGAACCGTAAGATTTGCCGTTTGAAAAAAGGAACTATGAAAAGAAACAGACATGAGAAACGCTGAAACATAGTATTAGACAAATACCTGTTAACGCCATCGGGTTGGATAAAGGTGAACTGAACTTGAAACGAGCCAATATTCGGTAAAGCAAAGAGTGTAAATTGTGTTTGTCCGTCGGTATAATTAGCTATCGCACCCGGTAAAGTTATATTTGGTTGATTGACAATCGTTGCTTTGACTTGCCAAGGTCGATCGTTCGAACCTAACTTTTCAATGACATTACCTTCCGAATCGTACGCAACGAGAACTGGTTGGATAGTACATGGACTTTGTTGACGACATTCGTCGGGTACTGTTCGGAGTTCAGTTCGATTGATAACACGTAAATTGATGCTCGAATGATTGAAAGGTTCTTGTACGTCCAAAGTAGTGGGAATGGTATCGCCGGTGAAGTTGCGATCTTTCCAAATCTGAGTCAGTTCACCTGTTTGATAACTATTGATGATTTTTGCAGCAATTATCGATACAACCTCTGAGCTTATACTACTAGTGGAACTTGAAGTAGGCCTAGGTTCGTCACGTATTTCGACATACATCATATCCAATTCTTCATTTTTGAAACTACGACTACTACGAATCATATATTTGAAGAGCGATGAGTAAAAGTAGATGTTTAATTTACCTTGTACGAGATTCTCTCACGATTTTCACACGTCGAATTTTGAGCGGATCGAAATTGAATACGGCAGCTAAGTTAGTAGCAAGATTATCAGTATAGAATGTCGAGTCATTCAATGGCGGTAGTCCAAAACCAAGAATCAGCAGCGATGATTCTTTCAGTTCGATCGTAATGTTACCCGTGATTAGGAAATAGACCAATCGATAAGTTCTATTTAGAAAGAAGGAGAGTGAATGAAAATTGTCAAGCTACGTAGTTCTAACCTATCGAAATAGTTGGCTCCAACCGGCGAGGATAGATTAACTTTGTTGGGTTCATCGAGTAATACAAGAATGCTGGATTGATTACGATTAGTTGGCGACACGTATGTGCCATTAGCATAGATATCAATTTGTTGGAGTGAGTTGTAGTAAACAGCTAGAATACATCGAGCTGATGAATTTGCGTTGATTAAACGAAAACGTAGGTGTTTTGGTGGATATTCATGAAAATAAATTTTGTAAGTCATATTTGAATGAACAAGTGCCATGAATGTTGATAAACGTGTTGCATACGAGTTTTCTGAACTAGGACGAAGGCCATAATGTCGAGGTCCACTAATTAGATCAATATAGCCGCTATCAGACAACAACGCCACAGGTGAGAGCGAACGTGTTTCACTATCTGAGTCCATACTCTCAATGATTAATGGATAATAGTCGGTCTTGTAATCACACAAGTTAATGGTCGATGCTGATTGAGCAGAGCATGAAATACTACGAGCAATGCCACGATATGGATAAGTGGCAGAAATGTTAATTATTTGACCTGATATATCAGTTCTTGCCGCCACCGGAATCTGTGTGTCAGTAGTACCATCATGCTCTACGACATCTATAAATAAATCTCGACTAAGTGCTTTTTTAAACTGGTACAATAACTATTTACTCCAAACAATCTCCGCTTGTGAAATGGCACTAGTAGATGTACCAAATAAAGTGCCGTCGAGATCCTTGAGTAAAGTCTTCTTTCGGCCATCACAATACATAGCTAAATCGATCATTAGTATAGGATTTTTGCAGTAACAGATTTAGTCAACTTACCATTGCAAACGAGAGGATTCTGTTCGCTTGTGTCTGGTTTGCCGTTAAAGATCACGTTGAAATCGGATAAATTGTAGCGAAATATCGAACTTGCTTCAATAGGGAATTTGGCATCAGTATTACCTTGAGGCACTTGAATAGCCGTGTCATGTCGACCACAGACATCATTGAAGAAGGCAAGAATCGTATTTGTAATCGACGTCGATCCATCCACTAATTTCAAATAAAAAGAAAGCGTTGACTTTCGTCCGAAAATCTATTCATTGCTTCTTACAACTAGGATTAGAAACTGTTCCTGTCCAACTTTGTTCGGGCATGCCGTTATCTCTGGCGAAAAGCGGAAAGACAATACCAGCTCTACTACCATTTCCAGTCACAAGTGCATCTTGTGATACAGTAGGCATTGCTATCGTTGAATATCGAACATTCGCAGAGTTGAAATTGATTTTGTCATTACAGTCATTTGGTGTTATTGAGCCGATGACGACTGAATTTTGTATTCTAACACGGCTGCGCAGGATTTGATGCAGTTCAGCTAATAGTGCACAAAGCTCGTATGTGAAGATAAAGAAGCAATGGTCAATTCTTACCCGGCGGTCCAATGACAAATGCAAATATGCCAACATAATTATCTATTGATGCACATGAATCGATAGTTATATTTCGATTCGTATTTAGATAGAAACCATAGTACCATGCTTTGTAAACTCTAGTTAGTTTTCAGAAGAAGATAGCAATAGTCTTTGTTCATTTTCATAATTCTACTTACTTGAATTCTTTGATAAGAATACATTCTAAATAGAAACAGGACTTTCAGTGCGTGAACAAACACATTTCGAAACACTTACGTCGGTCAAAAACAGATCCTCGATCATCTGGCCAAATGCTGACACCGGCCATGGCTGAATGAACTTCATTGTTCGAATGGACATTCGTGAATTGTCTGGGAATAACCACACCGGGGCATACATCACCATTAATACGAAAAGCTAATCGTTCTACGCCTGCGACTAAGTTGTTCTACACCGAGAAGAATAATCTAACGAATTGAAAAGATGAATACATACTGTCATAGTCACGCTGGTGCTTTTATGGGATGCAATTGCTGCATCGTAGTTTGCATTCTTTTCAGCCACTGAACGAGTTTGAGCCGTACCACTCCAATATATAGTTGTGATCAAATTTCTGTCGATAATATTATTTCTTCCAGTAATTACGAGAGCAGATCGGTATGTATTATAGATAACATTATTTGAAATTGACACGAAATGCGTACTTTTAAGACTTATTCTAGAGTGGAAACACGTAGACAAAGAATCAAAATATGATCTATTGCTTACGCAACGTTAAATCCGCCATCGAACGAACAACCACGAATGTACGTAGGCCATCGAGATTTCGATGCATTTATACTATTGATGAATATACCTGAATTTTCATCATTTTTCAATGCATCACTAAATTGTCCAAAGCCAATGAACTGTACATTTGATAGACTAACATGGAGAATGTCAGGTCTGTAAATTGATGTAGTATTAGTAATAGAAATTTTCACGCCGGCCAGACTCGATTGAGAATTACTGCTAAGCACACGTATATTGCGTGTTAGTAGACCAACGGCAGCGGCGACATAAACAGACGACCCATTGGCAAATGAATGTCGAATCACATGATGGGTATAACTCAATGGGTTCGTCGTACGTATAATCGTTCCATTTATTATCTCAGCAATACGATGTCTTTCCGTGTGTGACACACTGCTATCGGTTGTTGTTATTACANTTGGTAGCACTGGGATTTTTGACAAGAATACCAGTGGACATCAACGTCACAACATATTGCCGATTTGTTGATATTAAAGAAATGTTAAGGATGAACATACCAAGACCATCGATGGTCAAATCCGGTATGCTAACAGGTTTTGTTGGTCGACTGAGCAAAGATCTCGAACTATTACGTTTACTTAATGTACCTTGAGGTTGAAATTTTGGTAGAGGATACAATGTGACATTGGCTGTCCATTTCCAATCGTCCCATTGCGTTTGTCCTATTTGACGACGAGTGACATTATCAATAAGCATGACAGAAATATCAAATGTTCCCCCAATATCGACTATGTAGACATTGTTGATTTGTTGACCAGCCAAAGTGGCATTTGTTACAGTAATGGGATCAGTTCGAACCGTAAGATTTGCCGTTTGAAAAAAGGAACTATGAAAAGAAACGGGCTTGAGAAATGCTGAAACGTACTATTAGAACAAATACCTGTTAACGCCATCGGGTTGGATAAAGGTGAACTGAACTTGAAACGAGCCAATATTCGGTAAACCAAAGAGTGTAACTTGTGTTTGTCCGTCGGTATAATTAGCTATCGCACCCGGTAAAGTTATATTTGGTTGATTGACAATCATCGCTTTGACTTGCCAAGGTCGATCGTTCGAACCTAACTTTTCAATGACATTACCTTCGGAATCGTACGCCACGAGAACTGGTTGGATAGTACATGGACTTTGTTGACGACATTCGTCGGGTACTGTTCGGAGTTCAGTTCGGTTGATAACACGTAAATTGATGCTCGAATGATTGAAAGGTTCTTGTACGTGCATAGTAGTGGGAATGGCATCGCCGGTGAAGTTACGATCTTTCCAAATCTGAGTCAGTTCACCTGTTTGATAACTATTGATGATTTTTGCAGCAATTATCGATACAACCTCTGAGCTTATACTACTAGTGGAACTTGAAGTAGGCCGAGGTTCGTCACGTATTTCGACATACATCATATCCAATTCTTCATTTTTGAAACTACGACTACTACGAATCATATATTTGAAGAGCGATGAGTAAAAGCCGATGTTTAATTTACCTTATACGAGATTCTCTCACGATTTTCACACGTCGAATTTTGACCGCATCGAAACCGAATACGGCAGCTAAGTTAGTAGCAAGATGATCAGTATAGAATGTCGAGTCATTCAATGGTGGTAATCCAAAACCAAGAATCAGCAGGGATGATTCTTTCAGTTCGATCGTAATGTTACCCGTGATTAGGAAATAGACCAATCGATAAGTTCTATTTAGAAAGAAGAAGAGTGAATGAAAATTGTCAAGCTACGTAATTCTAAAACCTATCGAAATAGTTGGCTCCAACCGGCGAGGATAGATTAACTTTGTTGGGTTCATCGAGTAATACAAAAATACTGGATTGATTACGATTAGTTGGCGACACGTATGTGCCATTAGCATAGATATCTATCTGTTGAAATGAGTTGTAGTAAACAGCTAGAATACATCGAACTGATGAATTTGCGTTGATTAAACGAAAACGTAGGTGTTTTGGTGGATATTCATGAAAATAAATTTTGTAAGTCATATTTGAATGAACAAGTGCCATGAATGTTGATAAACGTGTTGCATACGAGTTTTCTGAACTAGGACGAAGGCCATAATGTCGAGGTCCACTAATTAGATCAATATAGCCGCTATCAGACAACAACGCCACAGGTGAGAGCTGACGTNGCTGATTGAGCAGAGCATCAAATACTACGAGCAATGCCACGATATGGATAAGTGGCAGAAATGTTAATCATTTGACCTGATATATCAGTTCTTGCCGCCACCGGAATCTCTGTGTCCGTAGTACGATCCTCTAAGACATCTATAAATAAATCTCGACTAAGTGCTTATTAAACTGTTACAATAACTATTTACTCCAAACAATCTCTGCTTGTGAAATGGCACTAGTAGATGTACCAAATAAAGTGCCATCGAGATCCTTGAGTAAAGTCTTCTTTCGGCCATCACAATACATAGCTAAATCGATCATTAGTATAGGATTTTTGCAGTAACAGATTTAGTCAACTTACCATTGCAAACGAGAGGATTATGTTCGCTTACGTCGGGTTTGCCGTTAAAGATCACGTTGAAGTCCGATAAATTGTAGCGAAATATCGAACTTGTTTCAATAGGGAATTTGGCATCAGTGTTACTTTGAGGCACTTGAATAGCCGTGTCATGTCGACCACAGATATCATTGAAGAATCCAAGAATCGTATTTGTAATCGACGTCGATCCATCCACTAATTTCAAATAAAAAGAAAGCGTTGACTTTCGTCCGAAAATCTATTCATTTCTTCTTACGACTAGGATTAGAAACTGTTCCTGTCCAGCTTTGTTCGGGCATGCCGTTATCTCTGGCGAAAAGCGGAAAGACAATACCAGCTCTACTACCATTTCCAGTCACAAGTGGATCTTGTGATACAGTAGGCATTGCTATCGTTGAATATCGAACATTCGCAGAGTTGAAATTGATTTTGTCATTACAGTCATTTGGTGTTATTGAGCCGATGACAACTGAATTTCGTATTCTAACACGGCTGGGAAGGATTTGATGCCGTTCAGCTAATAGTGCACAAAGTTCGTATGCGAAGATAAAGAAGCAATGATCAATTCTTACCCGGTGGTCCAATGACAAATGCAAATATGCCAACATAATTATCTATCGATGCACATGAATCGATAGTTATATTTCGATTCGTATTGAGATAGAAACCATAGTACCATGCTTTGTAAACTCTAGTTAGTTTTCAGGAGAAGATAGCATAGTCTTTGTTCATTTGCATGATTCTACTTACTTGAATTCTTTAATAAGAATACATTCTAAACAGAAACAGGACTTTCAGTGCGTGAATAAACACATTTCGAAATATTTACGTCGGTCAAAAACAGATCCTCGATCGTCTGGCCAAATGCTGACACCGGCCATTGCTGAATGAACTTCATTGTTCGAATGGACATTCGTGAATTGTCTGGGAATAACCACACCAGGACATACATCACCATTGATACGAAAAGCTAATCGTTCTACGCCTGCGACTAAGTTGTTCTACACCGAGAAGAATAATCGAACAAATTGAAAAGATGAATACATACTGTCATAGTCACGCTGGTGCTTTTATGGGATGTAATTGCTGCATCGTAGTTTGCATTCTTTTCAGCTACTGAACGAGCTTGAGCCGTACCACTCCAATATATAGTTGTGATCAAATTTCTGTCGATAAGATTATTTCTTCCAGTAATTACGAGAGCAGATCGGTATGTATTATAGATAACATTATTTGAAATTGACACGGAATGCGTACTTTTAAGGCTTATTCTAGAATGGAAACGCGTAGACAAAGAATCAAAATCTGATCTATTGCTTACGCAACATTAAATCCGCCATCGAACGAACAATCACGAATGTACGTACGCCATCGAGATTTCGATGCATTTATACTATTGATGAATATACCTGAATTTTCATCATTTTTCAATGCGTCACTAAATTGTCCAAAGCCAATGAACTGTACATTTGATAGGCTAACATGGAGAATGTCAGGTCTGTAAATTGATGTAGTATTAGTAATAGAAATTTTCACGCCGGCTAGACTCGATTGAGAATTACTGCTAAGCACACGTATATTGCGTGTCAGTAGACCAACGGCAGCGGCGACATAAGCAGACGACCCATTGGCAAATGAATGTCGAATCACATGATGGGTATAACTCAATGGGTTCGTCGTACGTATAATCGTTCCATTTATTATCTCAGCAATACGATGTCTTTCCGTGTGTGACACACTGCTATCGGTTGTTGTTATTACAAATTCATCACCTACTTGCCAATCAACTGACACACTCAATGNGCGTGTTAGTAGACCAACGGCAGCGGCGACATAAACAGACGACCCATTGGCAAATGAATGTCGAATCACATGATGGGTATAACTCAATGGGTTCGTCGTACGTATAATCGTTCCATTTATTATCTCAGCAATACGATGTCTTTCCGTGTGTGACACACTGCTATCGGTTGTTGTTATTACAAATTCATCACCTACTTGCCAATCAACTGACACACTCAATGTAATGGTATAGTTGCCTGCTTGTGCAGTATCAGCAATACGTGTCCATATGACACTTCGCGCTAATCCATGCAAATCGATTCCACTTTGATCAATAGAGTTTGTTGTATAAGTGGATCGTGATATATTAGTTAAAGTACTGTTGATTGTACCGTTGGCTGGTAAGATTATATCGATGCGTCCAATGAACGGACTCTGTTCTGTACCTATGCGTGAGATTCATCAAGGTTCACAAATTTGCTTTGTATGAGTTAAATATGATATTTACCAGCAATTAACCGTCCACCATCAATAAGGATGTTATCAACATACATAATATGGCTTCTTCCCTAATAAACTTAACAGTTTATCCTGGAACAACAATGATTTGTCACTGACCTGTTGGAATTCGAGAGTACCTTCGATTCTTAACATTCGAATACGCGGCAGTGGATAATCAATAATCATTTTATAACACCAAGGAATAACAATATTTTGATAGTCACCTGGTTTTTGTTTATCTGTAAAAGAAAATATTACACGGATCAAACATAAACATCACTAAAGAGTAATTATTTACACCAATTTGGATACTCTTGCTGTTCTGTCCAGTGAGTATTGTTCGACCAGTATCTTGTCGTCGGAGAGGAACACTAGAAAAAGAATAATGTCAACTGTGATGCATAACACATCTCAATATTGATTGTTTGCAGAATAAGAAAGATTCTAATTCAGCTTGCTATTAGCTTTCCTTACCTCTGTTTGAGGTATGTATCCGCCACCGCCACCGCCGCCACCATAACCACCACCGCCGCCACCGCAGCCGGTGCAGCTGCCGCTGCCGCCAGAGCTTACGGATTTGTAAAAGTTAACTCGCAGCTGATTATCGTATAGGGCATAGTAGGTCTCTGGGCGTGTAACTAGTAAGTAAAGGAATGACGATATCAAAAAACGACCATATAAATGATAATTTCACTTACTGATATACGAGAATATTTTGCTCTCATTGTCATATGATGAAGCACCATTAAAAATCAAACTAGGATAAAAGACCATTGGTGAGATCAAATATCGATCATCAGGTTTACTATCCATATAATGTTTGATAATAATATAATCACCTGGCGTCATATCATAAAGAGTAATCCAATATGCGGTATACAGCCAGCTCTAGTAGTACGATTGAATGAAGTCAAGATTTGACGTGCAATGTTGTAACTTACTCGTGAGTTGCTAAAGCTAAGTTGATACGTTCGATTTACTTGTAATGCTGTGACATAACCGCGAGCATAAGAAAGTCCTCCTTCCGTCCATGGTACATATGTTACGTGGTTGTCTTCATCAGTTATGATCAATGGTCCACTGTTTATATAACCGTAAGCATTCGAATTCTCGGTTAAAGTCATGCGAATCCATGATCCATTTGGTTGTGGACATTGAACAGCATTTTCAAACAGAGGTGCTGATGCGCATGTATGCGAATCATTGTTCAGACCATTTTGTGCTTGTACAGTCATTGATTCATTCTGGCTAGTTAATGTTCCATCTTCATCAGTGTACAAACCGTCGTAATCCCATCGAAACTTCGCACGAACTTGCACATTTATAAAAGACATATTCGCAAATTTTGTTGTGTAACCTAGCAATAAATTTCCATTGAAAATTCTACTATATTAGAGATAAATTCGCACCTGCACATCGATCTCTGCACGGCTCAGTAAGAGTTGGCCCAAGAATAGCTACCATACTGTCGTGCACAAAATTGACAAATGTGACGTTATAAACCCGAACGCCACGGTCGCCAGGAACTGGAAAGTATTCAGAACGAATGATATTGATAATGCCAAAGAATGAACTTACTGATTAGACCGACTGTTGATTCCGGTATGCTTTCATTCGAGGCATTAGAGTAGCCAACGATGATAGAATTGATTACAGACGAACTGTTTTCAATATCATAAGATCTTGGAATAATTGTCGAATAATAGAAGTTTTCTTGAGAAAACACAGAGATGTAACTAATACTCGCATCTATGTTGTCGAAAACGATCGCATCTTTGGTTTGTACAAGTTTTGTCAAAGAATATTCAATGCCTTTTCTATTTTTCCAAGACACGACTCCTTCAAAAGTAATTTTCAGCGAACTATCGTCAAGCGGACTGCCTGACATAGTCGGTGCGTATTGAGGATAGATCCGCACGCCGTGTAAACCTGTGCTGTGCACACTATTATTGTAAAAACCACCAAATGGCTGTTTATATGAATAGTATTCTTCCGTGGCATCATTTGACAATTCGTAAGTGATAAGAAGTAATTGATACCAATAACCATAGTGAGTACATCCGACGACGGCATTATGTTCCAGAGTATTGTTTGGATTGATTAACTATACATGCATACATCCATTGTAAGTATAATCAGAAGTCATTTACTTACCCAAAAGGCAGCTGGTGCAAGATCTGCAGTGGTGAGACCTGAGCGTGCTCGAACCCAGACCAATAAATTGCCTCGGAATACATTCCCAATCTCTCTGCCATCATTGAGATGAATACCATGTCCCCTATGAAAAGTATAAAGAATTCAATCCGATATTCGAATGTTTCGTTGCAAATCAAAATCTTACGCAATATCATAGATAACATTGTTTTCGATAGTAACGTAGTTACTGCGATGAATGCCGATCGCGCGATTATTTGATAGATGAATTGACGATGATTTGACATAGGACACAGTGCTATTTCCAATTTGACGGAAGTAGATTGGATAACGATACCTATCTAGTTCTTGTCTTAAACTAATGTTCCTCTGGCCGACATTGAATAGCTATGAAAGAACAAATATGACAATACATGAGAGCAAACTCTTTGGTATAAGTACACACTTCGACATTTGAAATGCGAATGAGAACTTCCCGAGTATCGATGTACTGTGTATCGGGAGCAGCGATGATCACTGCGCCGAAATTATCCATACCGACCTCATTACTATATTTACCCGATGAACACGTATCGATAGTAAATATGTCTGAAAATGTGGATGAGTTATAGTGAATTTCTGTATTCGATAGCGTGTTGACCTACCATGAGTAAAACTAGAAGTACATTCATCGACTGAAGATTCTTTTGTAGTGGTAAACGTTCCTAAATGACATAGGAATGACTTTTTATAGCTATCGAGAAAGCCACGTAGAAATGGTACCTTGAAAAATGATGTTGTGAGATAGAAGTCCAACTTCCCCACGAACTTCAATTGTGGTTGAATCGAACTGAAGAATGGTGCCTAGATGGGTGAATTCCAATGGTCTGTCGAGTGTTAACATCAGTCCATCTGATGAAATATTTGTTATTCGACGAACTTCACTCTCATTCTGACTGGCGAAATCTCCGGTAGTGGCAATGATTATTTGACTATCGATAGGCCAGTCGACTGGACTTTGAAGAGTAATTGTCGACGAACCGCTGTCAGCTGTCACGCCTAACTTTGCCCACGTTGCCACTGTAGTCTTTCCATGCATATCAAGTATACCGTGACGTACGCCGAGCACTTTCGCACCAACTACAATCGTGAATAGTAATGAAAACGGCAACAAAAATATAGAAGCGTAACACTTACAAACAGGTAGAGCAATTGACTTCGAATGTCCATACAGAGTGATAATAGCACGATGTTGAAACGGTTCTGATTCTGTACCGATTTGTAAGCGGCCACCATTTACAATGAAGATGTATTCTGCGTTCAATCGAACGTCTTTCTCGTCGAAAATCAGTGTAGCATTATCGATAACTAACGCTTTTAGTATAGGTGTTGAAATGTCGAGATAGACGGTTGTACCGTTTTCAATCGATACAATAGTATCGGCTTCTGGTGGAACATCCCCACCCCATGTCCATGGACTGGACCACAAGTCGATGTATTCGAATGTGACATCGCCGCTAGCGATAGCACTTCCATTGAAATATACACGTACAGCTGCATTTAAGTTCGTTTGTTCATGAAAGCCAGTCTCACATGTGATACTTGTTAAGTTGAAAGATATGACCGAACAGTCTGTATCGTCAATGGTGATTCTAACTCCAGCCGATGGATATCTGTAGATAAAATATGCGACACATGCTCAAAGAAGAACTTTCTTAGATAACTTACGGAAAATTAGTGCCACTGATAGTAACTTTTGTACCACCGCCGGTCCCACCTCGTTTCGGATGAATTGATGTTATGATTGCTGTTAAATTGACTGAATAAGTAAACAACGCACTCTGGCTCATGTCGCCGACAGTAACACTTAGGTTACATGGAACGAGTGTCTCGTTGGTCAATAAACTCGGTGTTTCACAGATTAATTCAGTGTTTGATAAAGTTCGTACTGACAAACATGATTTATTACATATACGAACATCCAGATTTGTACTATTAAATCCATCACCGTTGACAACAACTGAAAGACCACCACCATAGCCTCCTTCCGAAGGCGATATACGAGTTACACGAAGATTATGAGAATAGACGGTGTTAGTATTCGATATACCGCTATCACTTACGTAGACAATCACTGGATGATGTCCAGCTGGTTGATCTGTACTGACCGTACACTGAATAGACATTACAGACATACTTGTAACAGTGCACGGAAAATTTCCAACGAGCACAGTTGTATTTCCAACTATGAAATGGTTTCCATTAATCGAAAGTACAGTTAAATTATTGTTCAAGGTTGCGCTTATCGATGTGATTATCGGTGTTAGTGAGTTGTCGTAAGTAAATAAAAGTGCCGATTGTAGAATGTTGTTATTTGTTATTACCGTGACATTCGCGTGACTCGAGCTGTTTTTTTGTGCAGGAATAATACATAGGATTTCGTGCGCTGTTGCATGAACAACAGGACATCGATTTTCACCGATCATTACTTGAATCTTTTCAATTACATTAGAAAATCCATTACCAATGATGCGCATTTGAACGCCCCCGTAGATGCCAGTCGCATTCGGTGACAAGTTGGTTAGAATGCCTCGTGATGTGATATTGAGAGAAGAAAAGACTCTTCCAATACCTAAATTAAGTTTATTCAGTATACATTCCGTGCAATGTTGGTTTACTAACCATTGATAAATGCTACTACTTGATGGCTGCCGATTTCCAAGCCAAAAAGCGAGCAAATCAACGAACTATTCGTCATTTGAATGACATTGCAAACATTATCACCTATATACACCTGTGCATCCATATATGTAGTACTATTGCGGCTGAGTAAATTTCGACCAGTAAATGTAAAATTTGTCGGGTGATCAATAATTTGTGGAGTAATCGAATCAAGATACGGTGTTACGCTTGTTGACCACGAAAAGACACATGATGGCAATGAACAAGTGATTAGAGTATTACGAACTGCCACATTGATACTGTAATTGTAATTTGCATATAATACTGGTAGCAAAGTTTTGAATACAATTTTCGAATAAGATACGTTTGTGGTATTGGTGTACTCGATATTACCGATAAATAAACGTGTGTATCCTGGAATGAATCCGACACCTTCGATTGTGACTTCGGTGCCACCATAGATCGAACCTATCAATAATGAAAAGCAATAGGGTGATGAAAGGTGATTTCAAAGTGTTTACCAATTGTAGGAGTAATGCTCAATATTCCTGCATCGAATTTGAACTGTAATTGATTTTGACTCATCAAATAACCGTAACCACGACGAGCTACACGAACAATGTAAGCAACGGTACCACTCAACATTGAATCCGATGTTAATTGACAAATCAATGCAGTTGATGTCTTGTTTATAATTGGACAATGATAAGATGATCCTATTTGAATGTCATATTCACACTTATTTCCAGCAAAGCTCGTTCCTGAATACAGATGGTTGATAATGACAAATCATTCGATAAAAGATTGACAGTACCTGTTATTGTCAATAAAGTTCCAAGAGTTCCATTGGTGGGTGAGATCGAAAGGACAGTATCCGATGTACATTTTGTAGCAAGGAATTGTGCTGGTCCAAGAGATGTTGTCGATGCTTGATTACATAGGCTTTCATTGAAAATATTCGATGAACAGGAAGAATTCGATGGCAACGAAACTAAACCGATTGTCAGCTTTCGAAAGTTAGAATTTTGACAGCTTTTTGTGACACGTACCTGATGATGCACAATAGAGTCGTTGACCGGTATATATTGATGTTGGGGAACACCATAATTGAGTATCATTTGCCGAAGTACAGTTCGTATAACTGATCGAATTGAATGTAAATGGAAAAACGCATGTTTGAGCTAGAAATGAGAATCAAATTGATTGGTTGACAATAAGAATAACATATATTACCATTGTGTTCGTTTGAAACGACTTCAACTGTCCATACTTCTGATTCTGATGGAATGACATTAACGATGCCCCGAATGATTATATTTTGGTTTGATGTAATCGATGGTGACCAATAGTGATAAGTACCCACCGAGTTGAACTGATAAGAAAATGAACCTAAGCATAAAAACTGTATACATACATCTGCTACACTATGTGCCATTTACCTGAAGTAGTGGCGCTACCAGAATCAAAACCATCAACGACTGGATCTGTGCCATATGCATTGAACAGTTGCTGAATTCTATACGTTCGTGTTGAAAGACTTAGTGATGAATCCCATTTCCAAGTGACAACAGCACCTTGTTGTATTGTTACTTGTCTAGGTGACCAAGCAAAGCCAAGGCCGTACAATGGATGAACTCCGTCAGCTGTGATGGTCACTTGTTGAACAAATGATGGCGTTTGACAATGTATTTGACTCGACTGCAAAGAGATAATACTACATGGAAGAAGACGGTTATTTTCACTGCGAAATTGAACAGTTGTTGAATCGGTAAAATCTACACCATCGATATAAATATCACCACCACCATATAATGAACCAAGTACAGGGCTGATCCGTCGGAAGTAAAACCGGTATTCAATGGGAATAGGAGATTGAACAAGACCTGTTGATGTATTGATGATAATTGGATAAAGGCCAGGTGGTAATTGAGGTAGATTGATTCGAATCAAGTTCATGGATGATGACACGATCGTAGCACTCTTCGAACCCACATACACGGAGAAGGATTGATTTCCAAAGCCTGAACCAATGATATTCACCCTTCCAGCATCCATTGTTACAACAGACGGTTGTATAGACGTGACAAAAGGTTGATTCGTTGAATTGTAGGTAAATCGTGCTGATGCATTCACTGACATTTGTCCATCAACAGCAGATAGGATAACCTGCCGATCGTTGTGTGATGTTGAAGGAGGTACAGTACAGCGAATCGACGAGAAATTCAACCATTGAGAATTAATACATAATTTCCCGTCAACAGTTATGATTGTGTGCGATGAAAAGCCACGACCATGAATTAGTATTGAATAACCTCCTCCGATTCCTCCTGCTGGTGGATCAAATGAATAAATTGCCAGAGGAACACTAACCGTGAGAGTAGTATTGCTCGATGCAAAACCTTTGTCCATGACATTGACTCGTACAATCTGTGAACCTGATAGTGCATGGTTAATTTCACAACGAATATACGTCGAATTCGCATCGATAATGCTGCAGGAGCCTTGTTCACCAATCAACACTTGATTTCCTTCCATTGATGAACTAAACCCAACACCTTGGATGACTAAATTCACTTGATTTTGTACTACTGATGAAATCATCGGTGTTTGGGCAATCGACACTTGAAACTGACAGTTATTGTCGATATTTGAACAATAGGATGCAAGACCATTAACAAGAACCTCAACCTAAATACACTTCATAAGGTAAATCACTAAAAACATCGAGTTCAATATCTACTTGTGGTGTATCATGGTACGTTCGCATCATATCATTTGGAAGACTATAGAACACGTCTCCATCACCGCCAATTCGAACGGATGATGCATTAATCGATAAACCTATTGGTCGTACGTTCGCTATGTTGACAATTGTTATTTGTGGTTGTTTTCGTCTCTCGAACCAACTGATGTTGTATGAGTAAGATGGACATCTACCGACGCGAGTCACCGATACGTAACCGATTTTGTCAAATGACTGGAAAAGGTTTTGCATTTCCAGAGCAGTCAGTTTCACTGGTATCGATGTATAGGTTTCTCCATCGAATTGAATGTCATATGTACCCTCAAGTGGTGCGGATGTTCTGCCGATCGATGTTACGCGAGTGTACTAAATATAACAATAGAATGATTTATTCATAAGGACACAAGTCACCTACGATGGCGGGTAATGCGTTAATCAACGCTGGTGGCCGACATGTTGTATATTGAAATGAAATGCTAATGGTGCGGTTGCTTGGCGTATGTCTGATTTGCAGAGAATTGTATAATAATTGATACTTGGGATAAAATCGTCGAACACCTTCGATCGATGAACTGTGACAGTAGTATGTTTGATTCGTGGATGATCGGCAAATGGGTAGGTTTTCGTCATTCAAAATACATCGAGAGTAGCTTTGTTCGTTGTAGGTAAATGGAAATGTGCATGCATTTGATACCGATTGATCACTTGAGCTAACTTTATTTTCATCTTCGTATCCATTGGGATAAGTTGTTCGTAGTGTGACTGTATCAAACATGGCACCTTGAGAGTCCGAATCAAGGAAAACATCTTGAACGATGAGATAAGTAGCAAAGGAAAACAGAGAGAAGTACTGTTCGATTGTGGGTCTCAAATTAATGCATGTGTAATGCCAGCCGTTGTCGGAAATGAGTGATATAGGTATTGATATAATTTCAGTAATCACTGAATCAAAATCGCGATCACTTTCGACTTGAAAATACATTTGTATATTGGATTTTCCTTCACGAAGTTTATATGCAAAACACATGGTTCGAGCAGTCTCATCGACATTACCCGTGACTAAAATTTTCTCGACATTAGTCACTATAATTGCACGGCGACCGCAAAATGCCATGTCCCTAACATTGAATGTCTCATCATATGAAGTATCGCCTTCGAAGTCATTTGTATAGATTATTGTTGGATCTGCAGTTGAATCGTAAAGTGAAGGTGGGCATCGAATGGTAAATAATTTCTTAAATTCGTCTACAAGCATTTGATTGGTTACCGATCCGTTGGAAAAATCCAAGTATTGTGTGATTGCGCCGTCTAATTCCAGAGCAATGTATGAGCCCGATGGTGCCCCTTTGGTAACTTCTGTTACATTTCGGCGATTGCTGCTATTTGTCGAGATGATTGTCAATAATGGAACATCACCCATCTGTTCAGGAAAAGTAATTATGTATGAATCGGAATCGAGTGTTACGTTGACCATTAGTGGATAAATTGTTGGTAAATCATTTAAAGCTTTTGCAACATCGTACGTATCAGCATAGAATGGGATTTCGACTAGACGATACATAAGAAAATCAGTAAGTATCATCCAGTATACGAATGAACATACTTGTATAAACTCCTCGGAAACCAATTTGAAATGCTCGGGACATGAGAGGTACTTTCTGAACTTCATGTACGGTAGTAATGGATGAATTCGTTGCATATACGATTCTCTACAAAAGTACGAATCGACTGTGAGAATGTGTGCGTGTGTCGAAAGGAATTTACTTGTTGTTCTCGGATGTCCAAACTAATATAACTGATTCTCTGCACATCAGATGTTCCGACATCTCCATTCCCTATGACTGTTCGTCCTTCATACATCTTCACGTTGATCGATAGGCGAAAATCGGCCCGTTGATTTATCGATCCGACGCACATCATATAATAACTAGAATATCAAAATTGAGAATATAGATGTGTTAATATTTCTCTNAACGAAGCTAAATCAATTGTTAGTTTTCGAAAATTAGAGTTTTCACAGCTGTTTGTAACACGTACCTGCTGATGCGCAGTAGAGTCGTTCACACGTATATATTGATGTTGGGGAACACCATAATTGAGTATCATTTGCCGAAGTACAGTTCGTATAACTGATCGAATTGAATGTAAATGGAAAAACACATGTTTGAGCTAGGAATGAGAATCAAATTGATTGGTTGACAATAAGAATAGCATATATTACCATTGTGTTCGTTTGAAACGACTTCAACTGTCCATACTTCTGATTTTGATGGAATGACATTAACGACGCCCCGAATGATTATATTTTCGTTTGATGTAATCGATGGTGACCAATAGTGATAAGTACCCACCGAGTTGAACTGATAAGAAAATGACCCTAAGCATAAAAACTGTATGCATACATCTACTACACTATGTGGCATTTACCTGAAATAGTGGCGCTACCAGAATCAAAACCGTCAACAACCGGATCTGTGCCATATGCATTGAACAGTTGCTGAACTCTATACTTTCGTGTTGAAAGACTTAGTGATGAATCCCATTTCCAAGTGACAACAGCACCTTGTTGTACTGTTACTTGTCTAGGTGACCAAGCAAAGCCAAGCCCGTACAGTGGATGAACTCCGTCAGCTGTGATGGTCACTTGTTGAACAAAGGATGGCGTTTGACAATGTATTTGATTCGACTGCAAAGAGATAATATTACATGGAAGAAGACGGTTATTTTCACTGCGGAATTGAACAGTTGTTGAATCGATAAAATCTACACCATCGATATAAATATCGCCACCACCATATAATGAACCAAGTACAGGACTGATCCGTTGGAAGTAAAACCGGTATTCAATGGGAATAGGAGATTGAACAAGACCTGTTGATGTATTGATGATAATTGGATAAAGACCAGGTGGTAATTGAGGTAGATTGATTCGAATCAAGTTCATGGATGATGACACGATCGTAGCACTCTTCGAGCCCACATACACGGAGAAGGATTGATTTCCAAAGCCTGAACCAGTGATATTCACCGTTCCAGCATCCATTGTTACAACAGACGGTTGTATAGACGTGACAAAAGGTTGATTCGTTGAATTGTAGGTAAATCGTGCTAATGCATTCACTGACATTTGTCCATCAACAGCAGATAGGATAACCTGCCCAGCGCTGTGTGACGTCGAAGGAGGTACAGTACAGCGAATCGACGAGAAATTCAACCATTGAGAATTAATACATAATTTCCCGTCAACAGTAATGATGGTGTGCGATGAAAAGCCACGACCATGAATTAGTATTGAATAACCTCCTCCGATTCCTCCTGCTGGTGGATCAAACGAATGAATTGCCAGAGGAACAGTAACCATGATAGTAGTATTGCTCGATGCAAAACCTTTGTCAATGACATTGACTCGTACAATCTGTGAACCTGATAGTGCATGGTTAATTTCACAACGAATATACGTCGAATTCGCATCGATAATATTGCAGGAGCCTTGTTCGCCAATCAACACTTGATTTCCTTTCATTGATGAACTAAACCCAACACCTTGAATGACTAAATTCACTTGATTTTGTACTATTGATGAAATCATCGGAGTTTGGGCAATCGACACTTGAAACTGACAGTTATTGTCTATATTTGAACAATAGGCTGCAAGACCATTAACAAGAACCTCAACCTAAATACACTTCATAAGATAAATCACTAAAAACATCGAGTTCGATATCTACTTGTGGTGTATCATGGTACGTTCGCATCATATCATTTGGAAGACTATAGAACACGTCTCCATCACCGCCAATTCGAACGGATGATGCATTAATCGATAAGCCTATTGGTAGTATGTTCGCTATGTTGNTCGTCTCTCAAACCAACTGCTGCTGTATGAATAAGATGGACATCTACCGACACGAGTCACCGATACATAACCGATTTTGTCAAATGACTGGAAAAGGTTTTGCATTTCCAGAGCAGTCAGTTTCACTGGTATCGATATATAGGTTTCTCCATCGAATTGAATGTCATATGTACCCTCAAGTGGTGCAGATGTTCTGCCGATCGATGTTACGCGGGTGTACTAAATATAACAATACAATGATTTGTTCAAAAGGACACAAGTCACATACGATGGCGGGTAATGCGTTAATCAACGCTGGTGGCCGACATGTTGTATATTGAAATGAAATGCTAATGGTGCGGTTGCTTGGCGTGTGTTTGATTTGCAGAGAATTGTATAATAATTGGTACTTGGGATAAAATCGTCGAACACCTTCGATCGATGAACTGTGACAGTAGTATGTTTGATTCGTGGATGATCGGCAAATGGGTAGGTTTTCGTCATTCAAAATACATCGAGAGTANACTTGTTGTTCTCGGATGTCCAAACTAATATAACTGATTCTCTGCACATCAGATGTTCCGATATCTCCATTCCCTATGACTGTTCGTCCTTCATACATCTTCACGTTGATCGATAGGCGAAAATCGGCCCGTTGATTTATCGATCCGACGCACATCATATAATAACTAGAATATCAAAATTGAGAATATAGATGTGTAAATATTTCTCTCAGTTACTTCGTATTATTGTTTAGAAAGATTTCCTGTGATCGACTAGAAGTTCGATTAGCAATTTGGGCAATATTCTCTGGATTTTCATTTGTACTCAAGTAAAGAACACTGGCAACACTCGTATTCAATTGAAATATAAAACTCGCAGTCTTCGGTGGACGTAAATATCCAATGAACCATACCGTAGTATTGGAAATACTTGCAGCACTGAACGATGCTTCATCTATCCATGTTTTGTTTGCATTCACGCCGGGCATCCGAGGAGTAGAATTTCCCAGGCGACTCTGAAATAATGTATATAGAAGAGCAAAACAACGTATAGATCACGTACCAAATCGATGAAGGTGTTCTCGGAGTACATATGAAAGCCACGGCCACCTATACAATTACAATCGATATCATATTCTCCTTTTTCTAGTTCAAAATTACCATGATAATGAGCTCGACTAGTATTAAGCGGCTGTGATATCTGACATCGAATGGTTGTTAAATTGACACTAAGGATTGTGCAAGGTGTATTAGCGATATTTACAGCTAATGGATATGGATTATTATCACTGAAATACTCTCCACTGATAGTTAAGGTTGTACCACCCTTTAGACTTCCATCATTAGGTGAGATACTTGTAATAACTATGTAGAAACGATGCAAAAGTCAATCTATTGACAAATGAGGGATTTTACCAGGATAAGTTTGAAAAGTATACAATTGACCAGTGGCCGATAGTTGGTGTGAGCTCAACGGTGTAGAAGAACGACCGTAGGCGTATGTAACGAACATACTAACATTGAATATTCCTATACAAGATGTGAAGTGTTTAATATAAACAATGAACGAGAGATGAATCATTTTTACCAATCGCATTGCTATCAAAACGGCATTGAAGAGAAGTGTTTGTAATGTCTGCATAACTAATCGAAAGGATCCGAGGATTAATGCAAATTTCACAGTGAAACAGAAAAACTTACAGCGCTCCACGAATAGGATCGACCAAATTACAGATAAAATCACCAATATAAATTCTATTCAAACGTAGAAAATTTTAAAAAGCATCGAAATTAAATGATTTACCGTGAAATAACTGCAGTACTCTCTTGTCTACAGTAGGCNTGACTGTTCGTCCTTCATACATCTTCACGTTGATCGATAGGCGAAAATCGGCCCGTTGATTTATCGATCCGACGCACATCATATAATAACTAGAATATCAAAATTGAGAATATAGATGTGTTAATATTTCTCTCAGTTACTTCGTATTATTGTTTAGAAAGATTTCCTGTGATCGACTAGAAGTTCGGTTAGCAATTTGGGCAATGTTCTCTGGATTTTCATCTGTACTCAAGTAAAGAACACTGGCAACATTCGTATTCAATTGAAATATAAAACTCGCAGTCTTCGGTGGGCGTAAATATCCAATGAACCATATCGTAGTATTGGAAATACTTCCAGCACTGAACGATGCTTCATCTGTCCATGTTTTGTTTGCATTCACGCCGGGCATCCGAGGAGTAGAATTTCCCAGGCGACTCTAAAATAATATATATATAGAAGAGCAAAACAACGTATAGATTGCGTACCAAATCGATGAAGGTGTTCTCGGAGTACATATGAAAGCCACGGCCACCTATACAATTACAATTGATATCATATTCTTCTTTTTCTAGTTCAAATTACCATGATAATGAGCTCGGCTAGTATTAAGCGGCTGTGATATTTGACATCGAATGGTGGTTAAATTGACACTAAGGATTGTGCAAGGTGTATTAGCGATATTTACAACTAATGGATATGGATTATTGTCACTGAAATACTCTCCACCGATAGTTAAGGTTGTGCCACCCTTTAGACTTCCATCAGTGGGTGAGATACTTGTAATTACTATGTAGAAACGATGCAAATGTCATTGTATTGACAAATGAAGGATTTTACCAGGATAAGTTTGAAAAGTATACAATTGGCCAGTGGCTGATAGTTGGTGTGAGCTCAACGGTGTAGAAGATCGACCGTAGACGTTTGTAACGAACAAACTAACATTGAATATTCCTATACAAGATGTGAAGTGTTTAATACAAACAATGAACGAGAGATGAATCATTCTTACCAATCGCATTGCTATCAAAACGGCATTGAAGAAAAGTGTTTGTAATGTCTGCATAACTAATCGAAAGGATCCGAGGATTAATGCAAATTTCACAGTGAAACAGAAAAACTTACAGCGCTCCACGAATAGGATCGACCAAATTACAGATAAAATCACCAATATAAATTCTATTCAAACGTAGAAAATTTTAAAAAGCATCGAAATTAAATGATTTACCGTGAAATGACTGCAGTACTCTCTTGTCTACAGTAGGCTGTATCGCGTAAAAAACAATTCGTTCGAAAATCGCCCCTTATCGTAACTAGTCTTTGTGGTAAACCAGTTGTCGATGAAACACTCGTTACCATTGGTGTATAATTTCCCGATGATTGAAAATTTGCGTCGCCTTGCCTTGTATACTGGTCCAAGGAAATCAAATTATCATTCACATAAACACGAGCTAAATAGGTGCCCTCAGGCATTGCTACTGTATAACAAAGTAAACGCGTGTCGGTTATCTCATTGGCGTCAACGTCACAATCGTATATAGTATAATAATTTACTAGTTTTACTTTATAATTCGTACTTGACACTGACAATCCAGTGAATGCATTTGGTACAAAACCGCCACCTCGAATCCATAGTTCCGTTCCACCATTGGTGCTTCCGTAGTTTTCACCTCGACCACCATTCCTTCGAGTAGTGACGTAGTAGATAATTGTAGTTGAAACTGAAATATTGAATAGGACAGCGAAGTCTCTCGTTACAGTTCGGTATATAAGAATATATCAAGAAAAGTGAAGTCGGTGACAAACGGAGACCTATTTTAGATTTTGGACTTGTCAACAATTGATGTTATTTCTTTCCTATGTGTATTTTGCTGAAAAACAGCAAAAGAAAGAGTCCATTAGAAATAAAAACAAATGAAACTGTACGATTTGTTTTCTCCAGTATTCGCCAGCGAAAGTTGTCTCTCTCAGATATCTCTTATACCTTTTTGAAACTCTATGGGGATGAAGAGCTGCATCTACTGTGCAGCGTAGCGTGAATTTCCACTATAGTGTATATAACAACCAGGATAAGTCGAAAACTTCATGTAGAAATGCGTACCTGATTGTATAATAAGAGTCCAAATCAAGAATTGAGTTATGAGTAGATTCGTAAGCCTCATTTTTTTGTAGTCAGTTGCTGTTTTACGGCCACTGACTTTATATGGGAACCTTTTTTCGTTCTCATGTCATGTTTCTTGCATGTTTACACACTCTCGCAGTTAGCAATCATATACATTTTCTTTTGTCGCAGCAAAACTTCGATCAGGCAAAATCATGGCAATTTTATTCAAAAAAACGGAACTGAATTTGTAACGAAAACAATCCAAACGCTTCAAAGCAACACTCAAGTACTTTGAAAATAAAACATTATTTCGTTGCTGATATTTTTAGTGTACGATTGTTTTTCGCTCATTTTTTCAGGGAATAAAGTGAAATTTGTGTTTTAAACATGATCACATGCGACGTACTTATTAGCTGCACATCTGTATTTACTAGTAACTATTGTGATCTTTGGTTCTTTCAATATAGAAAGTAACAGAAAAGATACATAATAAATTCACGTTAGAACTGAACATGTCCAATCGACATCGTCAAAGTAGTTAAACAAACATTTATTTCAAGTTGAAACGTGCATCGATTTCAGAAATTGCCAAGACAAAAAAATTGAGATTTCGCTTTTGATCGTAAATTACACATACATGACCACTTCATTCCCCACCACAGCAACTACCATCGGTGTCGCGGGTCATGTTATTGTCACAGGCGTGTCCTCCGTGAGAATGACTATGATGAGAATTCTTATATTGTAAACTTACCGTGCTGCCATCGTGATGGTCTCCATAATTGCAGCTATTAGTAAAATCTACATATCGATAGTCGTAAGATTCACATGGATAGCCATACGACACGCCAGGGCGACGTCTTCTTGTTGATTTTAGAGATTGACAAGGGCGACGAACGTATTTCTTACGTTTTTTCACGTTGTAACTAGAGGGTTCCACGAAAAATTAGTTTTATCCCGCTGTATTTTATATTTTATTCATAAAAACCTTTAGGCCCTTTACTCCTTTTACTCCCTTTAATCCAGTGAACCCTCACCCCAATCTACACCTTTCACTCAGACCCACACCCACACCCACCCACCCACACCCACCCTTCTCTGTGTAAAG